TTGTTAACTTTTAGTTGATAGCCATCTTCCACACATTTCGTATACAAAGCTATCTTCAAGTCTTCCTTTGTATCAAAACAATCATCTTTCTTGATACGAATAATTTTTGTGTAACAATCAACTGCTATCTTTACCAACTCTTCTTCCGGTATCTGAAGTAATTCTGGCATATTCCAGTTATACTCCCGTGGCATTTTCTTTGGGGACTTTTCTTTGGGGATTTATTCTTCTTCTTTTTCTTCTTTAGTGTTATATGAATTACAGAATGGATGTTCAATATGTTCATTTACAGTCGTAACTTCCTCCTCATTATCATCAACAACATCTTCCTCGGCAACGGCTGTTTCATCATCAAAATTCGGGTATTGACCAATATCAAAATCATTACACGCAGGGTCTGTTTCTTCTTCTGCAAAATCATCAAAATCCGAGTATTGACCAAGAACAAAGTCCGGGTATTGACCAAGATCAAATTTCGAATACTGACTAGTACTCAAAATTTTTTCTGTTGGCTCATTATCGTCTAACTGGTCAATACGAAAACCAAAATTTGGTGTTGAAAGTTGATTGGGACTTGGATTAGGGAAAGGTTGTGGGTTTTGAGATTGTGTTTGGTATTGGAAATGTGGCGAAACAATATTTGCTTGGTGATGAAATTGTGGTGGAACCATTAAATTTTGAGCACCATAAACTGGGGTTGAAAAACTTAGTTGATTACTACCCGCTACTGACCCAACTTCACTACTTCTAGGTTCAACAACATACAATGTAACATCATCACTTGAAACACTAATGTAAGCAATGAATCGTTCAACATCTTCATTGTCGGTTAACAAATAAACTTTACCATTTCTCTGATAAGATAGCCTAAATCCACTTAGGGGCTCTAAATTCAATTTATTTGCAACACGTAACATTAGAGTTTCATAAGTTAACTTTTTAATGACAGTTTTAGTTGAAGATTCATGGGTAAAGGCATATATTGTAAAACACCATGAACATTCTCCCATGACCCTCCAAAACACAAATCTATCCAAACATGATCAACATTAGATGATTTCATTATTGTAAATTAATTTACTAAACAAACGAGCTACGAAACTAAAACCTGTCGCCGGATGGGGAAGGATGTCGTTGGATATAGGAACGGATGTCGCCAGAGAGAGTAATAAATGGAGATGGAATGAGTTGCGATTTAGGGATTTAGGTTATGAGTTGTTGCTGCTGCGTAGTTATATACCCAAAACATTTGTGTTGGGAAATTAAAACCTGTTGCGAATTCAGAAATCGAGTTGCGAATTTGAAATTCAGTATTGCGATAGTCAGAATCTCGTTGCGATTTACGTATTCGCGTTGCGAATTAGGAAAATCGCAACGCGAATTTGGGAAATCGCAATGCGATAGTCAGAATCGCGTTGCGAATCTGGAAACTGATTTGCGATATCGGAGATCGCGTTGAGAATTATCGATCGCGTTGCGATTTACGGATACGCGTTGCGATTTTACGTATTGTCGTTGCGATTTACGGATACGCATTGCGATTTACGTATTCTCGTTGCGATTTACAGATATGCATTGCGATTTACGTATTCTCGTTGCGATTTACGGATACGCGTTGTGATTTTATGTATTGTCGTTGCGATTTACGGATACGCGTTGCGATTTTACGGATACTCGTTGCGATAGTCAGAATCGCGTTGCGATTTTCATATTCGCGTTGCGATTCTGGAAAATCGCAATGCGAATTTGTACTATCGCATTGCGATTCTTCATAATCGCGTTGCGATTCTTGGAACTAATTTGCGATTCTGTAGATCGCGTTGCGATTTTTATTTCGCATTGCGATTTTGTTGGTCATTTTGGCAAATCCAAAAAAAATTGGTTAAAATCGTATATTATAAGGCATTTTTGGTCACTGAGGCGATTTTCTCTTCAGAAAATTTGGTGTGTTTTTTCTTTCGTTATTCTAATTTGAGTATGTATTATATGGTAAATTTGTTTAAATTTATATTATTTTGCCTGAAATTAGTCTGATATTTTATTATTATTATTTTGCAGAAAGAAGGTGAATTAAGTTTGAAGAAATTTTATTTGAGGTAATTTACTATGTTAATATTATTTTTATAAATATTTGTTAATTTTACGATTGTTGTTATGTTAATATTATTTTTATGTTGTATAATATCATTTTTACGATTCATGATCATAGTGTACCATGATTTTTTTATTCTAAATACAGATTTTGAATTTATAGAAAAATGAGTAATTACTTTTTCATAATTGCCCATTATAATAGACATATTATGAAAAATGAGGTCGAAGTTATTTTCTAGTCTAAAAGACTTATAAATATGATGTTCAAAAGGGACATCACATTTGTAGAAATGAATCAAATGATAGAAAGAAAAATTCGAGTTACAATTAAGAAATAAATAAATACAAATAAATAAATGAAGTTAAATAAAATAAATTATATTATATTATATTATATCATATCATATCATATCATATCATATCATATCATATCATATCATATCATATCATATCATATTATTTTTGCTATAAATGTCGATCTTCCGAAACTCTTTAATATTATTTTGCACTAGTCTCGTCCTTTCTATTTTATGCATCCATCTGTATATAAAAAACATTTGTTGCTTATTTTTAATCTCAATAAATAAATTCTAATTAAGAATTTAAATTAAAATAGATAAAATAAATATTACATTTTGGCAAGAGGAAACTCAATCATTGTTCGACCAATCGGTGTTAAAAATAGAAGTTTGTGCCAAGCCCAAGATTGTAGCATCACCAGACATCTACTGATTTATGTGGTATTAATATTCTTGATGACTACTGACGCCTTGCACATCTCACGGAACAAGAACATCAATATCGCAGATCCCCAACTATACTGACACGTATTCTCAAAATTTCTCAAAAACGGGAGATACTGCATGTGAACCAGATTACCGGATTTATCCGACATCAAAACTCCCCCAATCAACTGCAAGATATATGCTCGAGTTGCATATACAATTTCTTCTTGGGTATTATTTTCTTGGAGTTTAAATTGATTCTCCAACCACGACAGCCTCAAACGCTACCCTTTTAAATATGAGCTTACTGTCGTCTGCCCAAGAAACTCATTGCAAAGTGTTTCCACGTTATTGTAATCATTTCCCATCACCACCGGTATCCCATTTGTTTGAACCCCGAGTCGAAAGGCCACATCTTCTAGGGTTATCGTGCATTCTCCGCACGAAAAATGAAATGTATGTGTTTTTGGCCTCCAACATTCAATCAATGGACTTATCAAACCCGAGACCAACTTATACTTTCGAACAAATGTAACATAATAAAATCCAGCCTTTTCCAAGTGATCTTCATTCAAAGGGTGTGGCTTAGCGGGAATATTGATTCGATGACAGATGACTCGCTGCTCGTCTTCCTACAATTATAATATTCATGAAATTAATCAATTAATCATAAAATAAACTTCTACAATTTAATAATAATAATTTATTTTCAAATAATGATATTTTATTAAATAATAATAACATCATCGCTCCCAAATGACTAGAAATATGTTGAGCGTCAAGATGAAATAGTTAATTTTATTATGCCATTTCAACGAATTTGTAGAAATTTTTTAATAACATTAACAATTTAATATAACATTATTATAAACGAACTAATTTAATCTAAATAAGTAAGAGATTAAAACATCAACAAAAAAAAATAAAAAAAAATAATTTACTTGATTGTTTTCTTATCTTTTTTTTTTATCCTTCTTTTCTTTCTTCCTCTTCTTCCTTTCTTTCTTTCTTCTTTCCGATGCCCTCTCCCTCCCATACACTCTCCTGTATAATAACAACCCAACCAACCCCATTATTACCCATCCAACCCAACCAACCTGTTACCCTTATTATTGATGCTATTATTGCAACATTATTGTTGTATTTTGCAGTTGTTATTGTTGCCCCCATGCAGGCGACATACTGCCATGTAGGGGTAGTGTCACGAGTGCGGTTCGTGTGGGGAGAGGAGCGCATGCATGGCAAGGGAGAGATGCATGGCTCCCAATGTGTCTTTGGGGGTAGGGGAGAAAGCATGGCTCTCAATGCATCTTTGGGGGATTGGGAAAACACGCATGGCTTGCCATGCGAACTTCCATGCATGGAAACGGCCAGCTATGCAAAGTTAAGGGTGAAAGCCATTCAACGTCGAGGGTGAAAGTTTGTCCACCAAAAACGCATGGAAGACCATGCGTCTTCGGCTGGGATGCGGGGGACGGCCGTGTGACTTCGGCTGGGACGCGAGGAGGGCCATGCGACTTTGGTTGGAACGCAAGGAAGGCAACGCGACTCCGGGGCACACTGTAGCATTCACGCTATTCGACGAAATAATCTCTCAATACCATTATCTGACGAAATATTTTTCCCAATGCATTATTCAAAAAATTCAGCTTTAAAAATATATTGTTTCAATAAATAATCAAATAGGGTACTATTTACATAAATATTTTTTAAAAATAGCATATATAGATCAATTAACCTAAATATAACCTATTCTTTATTTTAACAATAAATGAAAAATTGAAAGAGAAATTAAAAATTTTGAATAATAATATCATAAGAACTCAATTTTATAAAAATAAATTATAAAAACTAAATACTAGTGGAGCAATGTGGAGTTTTATGGCTGGGATTAAAGAGGCTATGGCCTTGAATTTCTGACCGAGTTCAGTTTAACAAGAAACAAAAAAATCACTCGAAAGGAGTCTAATAATAACCATTCTATATTAATTGAAAAGATATCGTCAAAAACGGATAAACACATTCGTTTTGGGGCTTATTGTTAATATTTTCACCATTTTTAGTAGTCATTGTGAGTGGCTAAGCGTAATTATCTTTTAAGTTGTTCGTAATTTTTTTTAAAAAATACTTTTTAATATATACTTTTAAAAGAACGAGCTTTACATGCAAACTATAAAGATCGTGATCCTATAACTTATTACAAGCCTAGAAGGTAAAAAATTCATAAACTAGAGGTGAAAACAATGAAGTCTATAATAAATAATGGCGCATTGGCATTATATTTCTTCATTTGCATCTCTTTCTTTCCTTTATTAAACGCTGAAAACAAACTAGTTACCGTATCTTGTCAAAAGGTTAAGGAAAAGGATCTTTGCCTCTCAAGGCTAGGTGCTGAACCGGCCAGCCAAGACGCTAAGGACGTAGCCGCTCTCGCGTTGATTGCGATCAATGTCGCCTCCAGCAACGGCTCGGAAACCGCATCCTTCATCCGGCAGACACTCTCGGAAAGCGCAGAACTTTTAGCGCCTACCACGGAGCAGAATTTCGAAGATTGCTCGGAGAATTTCGAAGACGCGATGCAGGACCTCGATGATGCATTGGCACTCGTTACATCGAGGGATTTCAAAGGTATGAGAAACGAGGTGGGAACTGCACTGGACGATGCCAATGAGTGCGCGTCCGCGTTGAATCAAGGTGAAGGAAAAGACCTGGAGCTGTTTAATAAGACTAATACCTTCCTCCAACTATGTTCTATTGTCGATGACCTCGCCAATATTTTGGCTCCGAGTCATGACGGTGACAGTTTGGCTCCAAATTCCGACAACGGTGACAGTTTGGCTCCGAATTACGACAACGACGATGTTTTGGCTCCGAATTAAGTTATATACCCGCCTAGCTTCATTTCCCTACTGCAACATAATTAATATTCTTGCATGTTTATGATTTCCATTCGGTTCGTACGTTAACTTTTTAAAATTTAATATTCAGTAGATTTAAAGTTTGAATGTTTAATACATATATGGAATTAGAATCAAATATTCAAAAAGAGACAAACTGCTTAATTTTTAAAAAAAGAATAAAAAGTATTCGATATTTAAACTTTAAAATTGAAAGATTCAATAATTTCCCAACACATGTTGGGAGAGTTTTGTCTTGTTTAGAGTCCAATTCGAATCGACTCTAAATATAATCAAATTGATAACTATCAAAATTTTGGAGTTTAAATGAATTCAATATATATGAATAATTTGGATCAATTACAAAGTAGTATTTATTCATAACTTTCTTAACTTATTAACAACATATATACTCTGTAAACGTAGCTGATCGAACTTAAATCCTCAAAGGAAAAACAACATTTGTTTTTACTATTGAGGCCACTTAATGAATTTAACTCTAAATATATTCAAATCGTGAGAAAAGAACTCAAACCTTCTTAAAATGATTTTCTAAATTATTTAATCAATTTAATCCTCAATTGAAATTTGAATCAAAATATAATTTAATTTAGATTAATTTATTAACATTAGTTTAAAATATAATATAAAACATCGATTTTTTTAATCATTGGATATACAAAAATTGGATTAAGGGATGATACAATTAGATTTGAGCCAAACTGGGATTCAAATTCGGACCATGGGTTTGGGAAACATTAGGGTTTGCTTCAGTAGTTTGGACAGGTTTGAGCTTTAAGATGTATGGGTAGATTTAGCTTTGAGCTGTTTGGGGTTAGGTGAATTTAGGCTGTTAAATCTAAAATACTTTACTTCTTTGAGAATTAATAAGTTTCAGCACATCAATGACGAAATTCTTATGTTTAATCATATATCTAACTGCACTATCATTTTTATAGACTAAACATACAATTTAAATTATTAACTACTAAAGAGTTAACTATAAATAAGGTTCCTAAATTATGATCTTATTTTAAACTAGTCTATAATTTTTAAAATATTCTATATCATTTCTTAAATTATGACTCATTTTGAATTGGTTCTTAAATTTTGAAATGTTCTATATCATTCATCACGCTATCAATATCGTTTTAGTTTTTATCATTATGTTATCGTGTCTATTGGTTTTTGAAAGTCGTGTGAATTGAACTCGTTATATATATTTTTTAAAAAATAATCTATTTTTTAGGGTTATGAGAATTGTTTAGGTCACAAGTTCAACTCTCATGACATTAACAATAAATTATTATTTTTAAATAGTGAAGTTTAAAATATGTTATTGAAAGTGTCATAATAAAATGATATCAATAGTTTGAGGATGGATATAATACATTTTAAAGTTTATATATCAATTTAGACTGAGTTATGATTTAAAGACCAAGTTATTTTAAAAATAAAAAACTAAAGATTAATTTAAAATAAATATGTTATTTAGGGACAAAATGTACAACTATCTCATCATTAAAAGAAGCTAAAACTAAAGTTATACCACTTTCTCAAGGGGTCATACCATTTTGGAATATTACTGATTTTATTTCTTTTTTAAGGTAATAACCACAGTGCGGCTCATTAAACATGAATACCGTCTTTCATTACAACATTGTGAAGGAAAGGATATATATTCATATAACCAAATTTAATCATTAATGTAAAATTCTAAATAAAATTTAATAAATTTAAGAAGTTATATTATAATTTTAGAAGATATAAAATTATAAAATTTTAATACATATTAAATTTAATCATCAATAAAAATACTTAAAATGAATATTTTTAAAAAAAAATTAATGATACGATTGCATTTTATCACCTATACTGGAACCAATATATTACAACATCTAATATGCTTTATGTCACAAAACAGTATAATTATTTCGTGGACGATGATAAATGATTAATTTATTTAAATCTTTATTGGTATTAAATTTTGAACTTGAATATCGAAAAATAAGATAAATGAAAACCAAACTGCATGTAATTCAAGCTTTAGTCCGCAATCTACTCGTGCATCGTTGGGGAAAGATTTTATAAAACTGTTTACTAAATCTAATTCCCTTTTTACCGTGAAATTGTTTATATTATAATCATATTCATAAGATTTACTAAATTGAAATGGTCGGCATTGACCAATCACACAAATATAGTATTAAACTCAATTAATTAAAGAGATTATGACTCATTAGGGAAAACATCAAAATTACATTAACAATCCCGCGCGATAGATCATAACTATACACACTAGCATGAACCATACAAGTGAAAGATCTAAGATCTTGTTCTTGCATCAATTTCAGCACTTGTCTTGCTCTTGGTTTTGGTGTTCGTTCCATTGGTCGCCATTCTGAGAAAGAGCCCCGGAAACACTCAAATTCACCGTTTACATGTCCACGATCATCTTCGAAACGCTTACTCAGCGTGTGAAGGTACTTTGTACTCTGACCTTTGCGTCGCCATCATCTCCGTTATCCCGGATTTCACCTCCAAACCGCTCAAGGAGCTCATCTCGACGATCTTGCATCAAACCATGTACGAGGTGACGCTCAGCTCTGCTAAATGTGCCAACATCGAAAAGAGACTCAAGCGACACTTTGGAACGGGCCGCGATCGACGATTGCATCGAGCTTTTCAACCTCACCTTGGCGGAGCTGACGGTGGCCCAAGCATGTCTTACCCCGGGGAGATCATGAGTCTTGGGGAACCAACAGAAGTTATGGACGTTTTTGAGCGCGGCAATGACGAACCTTACACGTCTCGACGGGTTAGATGGGTGTTAGGAAGCTTCAGGTGGAAGTTGATAGTTTAGCAGCGTTGAAAGAGATTCGTGCTGCAAGCGATGGGTTTATTCGTTTGACGATTATTGCTTATGTCATTGAATTGCTGCAGCGTAATTGGTCTGTGATGCTTCATCACGTGTCTCGACAAGGTAATCAGGTTGCGGATTGTATGGCAAAATTATTTCGTTCCCATGTTTCGGATTGCTTACAGTTTGGTTCTCCTCCAGACGAGGTGTTGCCGTTTCTGCATGCTGATGCAAATACTTGGGTTTAATTAGCTTTGTTTCTTCTGTAAAAAAAAAATATATCTATGTATAAATTTATGGTGTAGTAACAAAATATTTAACTCAAGTCTTAGTTAACATTAGTTTCCAGATTCCATTCACCTAATTAAATTATTTAATATCTTAACACGTGATATTATATAATTTATTGTTATTTTATAAATTAATATTGTGTTAAATGGAATATTAGGACACCTCGAAGGCTGTTGGCCCATGAAAAAAAAAATCGTTTGGGCTATTGGTCGATAAGCATGGAACTGAAAGGACACGCGTACGAAAATCAACCGCCAAATGTTGAAAAACTCGATCCAATATCAAGAGCAAGCAAGCAGCACCCTCCAAACCCTAGGGTTAAGGCGGTCATATAAGTAAGCCGCTATCACCGAAGTTAGCTTCATCACTGAAGAAAGGAAGGGAGAGAGAGAAGAGAGGGATGGTTTCGCTTAAGCTCCAGAAACGGCTCTCAGCGAGCGTATTGAAGTGTGGAAAAGGAAAGGTTTGGCTCGATCCAAATGAAGTCAACGAGATCTCCATGGCCAACTCTCGTACGTTTTTTCTTCTCTTTTTCCTTTTCGTGATCATCATTTTTAAGTTGAGATATGATTTGAACTTTATTTTGCATCGTTTGTAGCCAAATATATTGGTGGAAATGAAGCTAAATGTTTCATTTTTTTAGGAATTGAATTTGTGATAGCTGATGTCATACACTTTTAAGCTTTTTTTTTGTTCCTTTTACTGATTCATGACAGTAGAGTGTTATATACTTTGATTAGATGAGCTTTAGCATATTTGCAATTCAACTTTTGAATATTCTATTGTTTGTTTATTTACTTGTTGAGAAAGATGAGAATATTTTCGGTTAAAACAAACTGTCAATGCTACGTCAGTTTATTTTAGGTTTCCTGCTTGAGAAAGTCAAGTTTCACATTAGTGATATAGTGCAACTGTAGCTGTATAATTTTAATCAGTTTGCTAAATACACAAGTTTAGTTCCTTCTTTGCTTCACTGATATAGAAAGAACATTTTCCTGACAGAAAAATCTGAACAATTAATGGCAGTTCTCGTTGATCTATTGTCTTAGTCATAAGAGAATTGTTTATTCTATAGACTTGTTAGTTTGTTAGTAGCTTAGCTCAAGAATTTGTTCTTTTAACCTTTGATTATGATCATGTTCATATTTGAATTCGGAATTGCAGGCCAGAATATAAGGAAGCTGGTTAAAGATGGTTTTATCATTCGAAAGCCAACCAAGATTCACTCTAGATCACGGGCACGTCGCATGAAGGAAGCCAAGAGAAAAGGGCGTCACTCTGGATATGGTACGCTTTTGTTTGTACTTTATTATTGTATAATTTACCGGACTTAATGATATTTGAAGATGGAGAGTTGGTAGGATGAATAGCTTTCTTACATGCTTATAGATTCTATAGCAGATTACATTCTTGATTCTTGATTGAACATCATGTTTTCAAAGTTCTGATGTCCGAAATCATTTTATTAAAGATGAGTTGAAGTATTGTGGAGATCCTTCATCCTGCAAAGAACCATTTCTTAGCCATCACTGTGTTGCATATCTGGAAATATGTGCATATGTTGATTAGCTGGGTTTGTACTTCCATTCTGATTTTAGGTAAGCGCAGGGGTACAAGAGAGGCAAGATTGCCCACAAAGATCCTGTGGATGAGGAGGATGCGTGTTCTGAGACGCTTGCTTCGCAAATACAGGGAATCAAAGAAGATTGACAAGCACATGTACCATGACATGTACATGAAAGTCAAGGGTAACGTGTTTAAGAACAAGAGAGTTCTCATGGAGAGCATCCACAAATCTAAGGCTGAAAAGGCCAGAGAGAAGACGTTGGCTGACCAGTTTGAAGCTAAGAGGGCTAAGAACAAGGCAAGCAGGGAAAGAAAATTTGCTAGGAGAGAGGAGCGGTTGGCCCAGGTAAGAATATTTGTATCGTGTGGTTCTTCATGCAATGGGATGCTGCTTTACTAGGCATAATTTTACAGATTTTTTCCTTCGGAAGTTACTATTTGGGTTTTATGTGTTACTTTCCACCTTAATTGTCAGGGACCTGGAGGGGACAAGCCAGTTGCAGCAGCACCAGTGGCAGCTTCTCAACCAGCCGTGTAATTACATCATTGAGTTTGAATTTCTTTTGCTAAAGGATCAGTGATTACAAGCAACATAAATTAAATTTTCCTCTTTTTTTATTTTGATCTCTCAGGGTTTCCAAGAAGTCGAAGAAGTAAGAATGTTCTCTACTGAAAATGACTGATCGACTGGGACTTTAGATATTAATGTCCAAGTAATTTTGTTGAGCCAGTATTGTGTTTCTGGGTTGATATGAACTTTGTCCTTTAGGTGGATTAAGCTTTAATGATTTTTTTCTGAGTCTTACTGTTGCCATTTGTTTTAATTATTTGATATAATGTTATGTTTTTGAATTAACATACGTGGTTTCGTTGGTTTTTATACTCACTCGATAAATTTGTAAAATGGTCACTGCAGTTTTAGACCGAAACTTTGAACCATTACTGCCTTTCCGGGTTCATTGGTTTTTTGGATTCAAACTTGCCTACACAAGCCGCTTCTAAATCCCGTCTACCGGCTGATTTCATTCTGGGTTCGTCTGCTCTCCTTTCTCGATGCAACTGTAGCCCACTATCAATCTAAAGACTTCTTTGGTAACGTGCATAGTATGAAGCACCACTATCGCTATCTCTTAAGATAGGTTTTTGTCCAGTCAGATCTGCACTTCCATGACTAGCTCTAACGTGTGGTGAAACTTTCTTGGATAGATGAATCATTCCGATTATTACAGATCCCGAGATTGAAAAGGAACGTTGCTGTGCTACCTTTGTTAAGGCCTTCACTCTCCATCCATATGTCGCTTCCCATCAGATTTACAAACCTGGTTCAACATTTTAAGAACCTATAATAAGCCTGTTGCAGTAAAGACCAAATATTTTTTGTGAAGGGTAAAAACAAACTCTTTCATGTGCAGAGGATTTATTCAGATTTTTTAGTTTTACCTTAACAAATGGCAAGTCCAAGCCAGCACCTCCATCGCTATTTTGACTGGATCCACTACGTGGTTGTGCAAATTTGGTAAAATGAACCTGTATATCTTGTTGCAGAACACAACCAGAATCTTTGACCTGCGGAATTAGATGATGGGATATCAACATGAGCGTCATCTTTGAATTACCATAAGATGTTTTTAAGATCATGCAGTAAAAGTAGAAGTGAATCAAATTGAAATGAAGTTTAACAGGAAGCAGTTAAGAACCTGGACTCGTAAGTAGAAGTGGCCTTGACACTGGGTAAAATTCTGGAGGTCGCCAGTCTCTTAAAGACTCCGGTTTTGCAACTGACGCTACAATTGAAACATAACCCTCCTTTGTGAACTTCACAGCGTTGCCCACGATATTTAAAATGGTTTGCATAAGCCGTTTCTCATCGCCAACAGCATACATTGGCAAATCAGGTGCGAGGATCATAGTCAAAGACAGCTTCTTTATAGATGCAGCGGGCCTTATCAGATTAATGACCTAAAATTATAGAAATATGAACATTATTACTAAAATAAAACTGCAAAGGCAAAATTATTACCATTTCTATGCTAAAACCATGTACAAAATCACAATTGATTACCTCTTTGAAGATTCCATGAAGATTAAACATCCCAAAGTCCAATTCTAGGCTGCCATCTTCAAGTCTTGAAAGATTGATTAGTGTTGCCAAAAGGTTGCTACTCTTTAGCACCGTCTCAATCATAACTCTTTGTTCTGGACTTAGCTCAGTCTCTAAAAGAAGTGAGAACAACGCAATAATTGCATGCATTGGTGTACACATCTCATGGTTCATTACAGCAAGGAAATCATTCCGTGCATGAATTGCCTTCTCAGCCTCTCGACGAGCCAAGTCTAAAGCAATGTTTTGCTCAATAAGCTGATCACGTGCACGCATGGATTCCTCCATGATAGCGGCATGTGAAAGAGCAACATTTTCTGAAAAAATATTTTCTGAAAAACATTTTCTGTAAAACGTTTTACGATGTTTGGAAGATATTGTTTAACCTATTTTTCCACTAGTTGATGAATTTTTTAAAAATTATTTATTACAAATATTAAAAATACAATAAATAATATTATTTATCATAAAATTTAATATTATTTTTTAAAATATTAAAATAATTTATTATTAAAATATTGTTTTTATAGTTTTATTAATAAAAATATTGTTATATTTTATTGAAATAAAAATATTATAAATTATATTAATTATTTATTAAAGTAATAGTGTTATATAATATTTTAAAAATATTAATTAGTATATTTTAAATATCTTTATAAAAATATTATTAGATTATTATATTATTATTAAAATATATAAAAAATATTATTCATTATTAATAATTTAATAATATTATTTCTATGAAATTAATAAATAATATAAATTTTATTAATAATTTATTATATATTATTAAAATAAAAATAAAAATATAATATAATATCTTATATTATATTATTATAATATAATTGATTATTTTATTATAATATTAAAAATATAATATTATATTATTAGAAATATTAATAAATATATTTTAAATATTTTAATAATTAATATTTTGATTAAAATGATATTAACAAATTTTATTAATATTAAATTCATAAAATAAAATTATTTTGAGTATTTATTCTTTAAAATGAAAAGTTCGGAAAATGACTTATGAAAAATCAAACCTTTTTTGAGTATTTATAAAAAATACAAAGGAAATTCTATTGATCAGGAAAATGTTTTACGTTGACCAAGCAGTTTTCCTTCAACCAAACACCGGAAAATAAGGAAAACGCTATCTAGAAAACGTTTTAGGTGAGAGTTCACAAGGCAAAATGTGTGATGAGTTCTAGAATTCTCCCATGAATGATACGAGACATACAGAGATGCTTTCCTTCTGTTGTCAGTCGTGAACTTGCAAAAGCTCTCACAGTAGAATTCATGTAATAATCGTGAAAGTAGTGCTACTGGCTCCCTCGCCTTGTTCACTCTTTCGAGTCGAAGCACTTAAATAATCTTCAAGTTTTAAAGATAGAACCAATAACAGAGAATAAAGCATTCTTGTCTACACCAGGAAACAATTGCAAAGAGAAGACATGTTTTGTGGAGAATGCACCCAACAGCTTGACATTAAAGCACTTTTACAAGGCCATGATGCTTTCGAGAATGTGTTATTTCCCTCAACCAACATGGACTATAATCCCATGAACCTCAATGAAATCGTCGATTTCGACGAACTGCAGTCGATTCTAGACGAGGGAGAGAACCAAGGAATGCATTTGTTCGTGGGAGATGAAGGTGGCGGTCCTAGAGGCAGCCATGACAGTACCACCATAGTGGCCGCCGATCATATAAACAATGGTGAAGTAAAGCAAGTTAAACCTAAATCGAAAAACGAACAACGATCGATCAAGAAATGGGAAGCGAGAAAGAGGATTCAAAAGGCTACTCCGGAAGTTAATGAAAAGAAGGAATTATATAAAATCAGATGTAGAGAGGCAGCTGCTCGTGCGTTTGCACAAAAGAGGGTAACTCGGAGGCTAGCATCTTGTAATTATTTGCATTAATCTATTGATAAAAGCTAATTATTTCTTCATTAGGCTTACGTGGAGTGGCTAGAATTAGAGGTGCAGAAATACCGCGAGAAGAATAAATATCTGAAAAGGCTGATTCTGGTAATTAAATTCCATTTTCTCCATTTCTCACTCAAATGACATGCATGCATAGATAGGGTTATCAAATATTTTCGAGAATATATATATAATGAAGATTATTGTTTAATATAATTTCAGTGAAAAATAAAAAAATAATATCTTAGTTCATATACTGATATTTTCAGTTGTTTTTATCTTAGTTCGCCGAAAGTAGCATAAGCTTAGACATACCTCCAAAACAACTAAGAAGGACAAGCTCTGGACTGCTGTAGATGTTCAGACAAAGCCGATCGTGACAGAGAATGTATTTTCAGTCTATCATGTAAATATTACAATCGTATTAGTATCATTTTATAACAATTAATATTTTTAAGTAAAATACTACATTCAAGTCTTATAAATAAAAAGTATTTCCTAAAATTAAATTTGGACCTAATTTAATTTTAGTTTTAATTAAATCATTGAACTAATAGATGTTAAAAAAGTTGAAGGATTCATCGCATTATTTCATGTTTGGGATATAATATTTTATAAACTTGATATATTTAATTCTAATTCGATTATTTAAGTTAATTTATTTAATCTAAAATTTTATAGACTTAAACACAATGATCTAAACTTGATTTAAAATTCAGATATAAATTACTCTATCTGAAATAGTTCAACTGAAACTCGATCCGAAGGACCGAATTGCCTCTAATATTTTGCACCGTTAAGCCGACCGTTGGATGTTTAAAAATCCCTCCATTTTTCTGACTTTTCTCTCTATCCCGGGTCCCCATAGATATCGCATCTACATACATAAAGAAAACATCGACCGTTTCAAATTTAAAAATATCCGTCAGATCCACGGACCAATTAATCGACCGTTATTATGAACTTTTTTGGCTCTTAACGGAAGAAATCCTTTCCATTTCAAAATTTAAATGCAGCATTTCCTTCCACGCTTATTTTACTTTAGATTCTTGTGGGTTTTTCTTCATTTCTTTGTTTTTCGGTCTAGTATCGTTCTCCTTCAAAATTTTTGAGGGGGATTTTAACTTAAGTAATTCATAGTAAAGATGGGGAAAACGGCCTCTTCTCCGTCGTCTTCTCCGATGACTATAACAGTGTCGTCGGGAGGCAAAGAAACCGGTAGTAGAAGCGTGGGGTTGACGAGTTCTGTCCCTCGTGCTTCAAAATCAAACATCCCAAATTCACCCAGTCCTATCGGTGGTAGAGGACATCGAAGGGCTTCAAGTGGGGGAGATACAGCTCGATGTCGAAAGATGACCATACTGAATAGATGAACTCTGAGTTCGTAACTTACACCGTGCATATACCTCCAACTCCCGATCACCCATCCATCTCAGCCTCACAAACAAGCCTTAACGAAGATGAAAAAGATGGGCTTACGTTGAAGCCTGATAGGAGTTTCATTTCGGGCACTATTTTCACAGGAGCTTACAATTCCGTTACCCGTGGCCATGTCATAGATTGTTCCTTGGAAAGACCCGAGACGTTGAAATTGGGCTCCGTGTGCGGAATGAAAGGGTGTGATGAGAAAGCAATCGAAGACCAATGTGAGCGTGGGTCTAAAATTTGTGGAGACTGTTACTTGGATTGTGTGGGGACTGGTGGTGGTCATTGTCCTGGATGTAAAGAACCTTACAAGGATGTCAATGACGAAGATAAGGTTAGGTCCAAACTCCAAAGTGGAAGATCGGGCTTTGCCTTTGCCTTCAAAGGTGGATTTCAAGTTTGATAAAAAGACTTTCACTTGTGAAATCGTTTAAAGGGCAGAATCATCTGCCGGATTTCGATTATACGAGATGGTTGTTCGAGACTAAAGGAACTTATGGGTATGGAAATGCTTTATGGCCTAAAGACGGTTATGGCCTCGGATCAGGTGCTAATGGCTTTGAGAATCCCCCGGATTTTTAAGAGAGGAGCAAGAGGCCTTTGACCAGGAAGGTTGGAGTTTCCACTGCAATTCTCAGTCCATACAGGTAACTTGAAAAGTTAAATTTAGAGCTCTTAGTGTGGTAAATCTTATGAAGATCATTCTTTGTAGATTATTAGTACTTAATATGATAAATCTTATGTTGGCACTTAGTATCGTGGTCTGAATTAACATACCTACAAACTGGTTAATTGAATGTTGTATGTTGTATGTTTTATATGAAGATTGCTTATTATACTTCGTCTTGTTGCACTGGGATTCTTTCTCACGTGGAGAATTAGACATCCTAACCGTGATGCCATGTGACTATGGGGAATTTCAATAACGTGTGAACTCTGGTTTGCATTTTCATGGCTTCTAGATCAGCTTCCTAAGCTCTGTCCAGTAAACAGAGTAACCGACCTCTCTGTTCTTAAGAAGTGTTTGAGTCTCCAAACCTTCGAAATACGAAAGGGGGATCCGACCTTCTGGGGATTGATGTTTTCGTTTCCATGGCGGACCCTGAAAAGGAACCCCCTCTTGTTACAGCAAACACCATCCTTTCAATGTTGACTATCCGATAGAAAAACTTGCTTGTTACCTTTCAGATGATGGTGGAGCTCTTCTGACATTTGAAGATTTAGCAGAGACCGCTAGCTTTGCTAGAGTTTGGGTTCCTTTTTGCCGTAAACATAAGATCGAACCTCGAAATCCTGAGGCGTATTTCGGGCAGAAGCGTGATTTTCTGAAGAACAAAGTGAGGCTTGATTTTGTTAGGGAGAGAAGGAGGGTGAAGAGAGAATATGATGAATTTAAGGTCAGGATTAACTTGTTGCTTGAGTCGATTAGAAGGAGGTCAGATGCTTATAATGCACATGAAGAGCTTCGAGCAAAAAAGACACAGATGGAAATGGAAGGCAATCTTTCAGACCCTATTAAACTCCCTAAGGCTACATGGATGTCTGATGGTTCTCATTGGCCTGGAACATGGGCGTCTGCAGAGCCTGATCATTCAAAAGGAGTCCATGCTGGGATTATTCAGGTATATTTCAGAATCAAATTTGCGAACTATTAGTTACTGCATTTGTGATTTGTGTGGAATGCTAAATTTGTCTTTCTTTTCAGGCAATGCTGGCTCCACCAAATGCAGAACCTGTTTATGGTGCCATGAATGCTCTTGTTCGAACTAGTGCTATCATGTCGAATGAGCCATTCATCCTCAATCTTGACTGTGATCACTACATCTACAATTCTTTGGCTCTCAGGGAAGGAATGTGTTTCATGCTCGACAGAGGTGGTGACAGGATCTGCTATGTTCAGTTCCCAAAAAGGTTTGAGGGGATTGACCCGAATGACCGGTATGCAAATCATAATACCGTGTTCTTTGATGTGAGCATGAGAGCTCTTGATGGGTTACAGGGGGCAATATATGTAGGTACAGGTTGCATTTTCAGAACTGCTCTCTACGGGCTTAGTCCTCCTAGAGCCACTGAACATCATGGATGGTTTGGCAGAAGGAAAAATCAAGTTATTTTTGAGGAAACCCAAGTTGACGCAGAAAGCAGAAGATGAGATAGCATTGCCTATTAATGGGGAACACAATGATGATGATGACGCAGATATTGAATCTTTGCTTCTTCCTAAAAGATTTGGGAACTCTACTTCTTTTGTAGCATTGCTTCAGGATATGCAAGGAAAGGGAAACCAAGGTAGGCCAGCAGGTTCTCTTACGGTGCCCCGTGAACCTTTGGACGCTGCAACTGTTGCAGAAGCAATAAGTGTTATATCTTGCTTCTATGAGGATAAAACTGAGTGGCGAAAACGAGTGGGATGGATATATGGCTCTGTCACAGAAGATGTTGTAACTGGTTATAGAATGCACAATCGTGGATGGAGATCGGAGTACTGTGTAACCAAGAGGGATGCATTCCGTGGGACTGCTCCGATCAATTTAACAGATCGGCTGCACCAAGTCCATCGATGGGCAACTGGTTCTGTTGAGATATTCTTTTCGAGGAACAATGCACTATTTGCAACTCGGCGAATGAAGTTCTTGCAAAGAGTGGCATATTTCAATGTGGGAATGTACCCTTTTACTTCTATGTTTCTCCTAGTCTACTGCATTCTACCTGCAGTTTCTCTATTCTCGGGCCAGTTCATAGTGCAAACTCTCAGTGTGACCTTCTTGATATTCTTGTTGGCCATCACAATCACCTTATGCTTGCTTGCTATCCTCGAAATCAAATGGTCGGGAATCGCTCTTCACGATTGGTGGTGGAATGAACAGTTTTGGTTGATCGGTGGAACCAGTGCCCATCCTGCAGCAGGGCTACAAGGACTTTCTAAAAGTCAGAGCAGTAGTGGACATCTCGTTCACATTAACTTCCAAATCCGCCACCCCAGAAGACGGAGATGATGAGTTCACAGAGCTATATGTCGTAAAATGGAGTTTCCTAACCAGTGCCCATCATGATGTTGAACTAAACCGCAATTGTGGTGGTCGTAGCAAGAACCATGTACAGCCCCTTTCCGGAGTGCAGCAAGCTTCTCGGAGGGTGTTCTTTAGCTTCTGGGTCTTATGCCATCTCTATCCGTTTGCCAAAGGACTGATGGGAAGAAGGGGGAAAGTTCCAACCATTGTTTTTGTGTGGTCCGGCTTGCTCTCCATCATTGTTTCCTTGCTTTGGGTGTATATCGATCCGCCAATCGGAAGCAAGGATTACATGAAGTTCCAGTTCCCTTGATGTACTTTTCGTAATAGGCAGCTAGTGTGCAAACATCGTTGTTCAACTTACCAAGCTATGTACTTATTCTAATTTCTATTGTCTCATCTTCTGTTTCATTACATTGCTGTATTTCTCTCCATTTCATGGCGAAATAGGCAAAAGTGCCAAAGACAGTCATGGTGACAAAATATAAAAAATTAGCTCACTCTATTCCCATATGTAATGGGGAGGTAGGGTAGTAGGTTGTCCCAACGTCCAGCTTCCGTGGAAGACCTCCAGAATTATGAATTACCCACCGTAGGACTCGATCTCACGACCACAAGATTAAGAGCCTTGCGCTATACCAACTGAGCTGGACGAGAATCTAATTACTTAAAGATGACCACCGTAGGACAAAATATGAATATCATAAATAAATGGTGTTAAGTTTTAGAAGATGACAAAAGGATACGAATCAAATTACTTAAAGAATATGACATTGTAACAGCTGGATGAGCATAATATTGTTTAGGGTAAAGTACACGTGGTTAATAAACTATGTTTAAAATAATTGTTTTGATCATTAAAATTTTAAAAGTAATAAAATGATCATAAATCTATCGAACTATTATAGAATTGTCGTTAGATTTATCAAATTTTTAAATTTACTATCGTTAAATTTATCAAATCTTTACATTTATTATAACGTTGCGTTCACCATTTTATAATAGTTTGATAAATCTGATGATCAGTTTATAATTTTTAGAAGTCTAGGAACCAACACAATCATTTTATAAAGTCTAGGTGTCAACGCTTGACACTTAGGATTTAGGAACCATGTGGGTAGGTAGTTTGCCCTAATATTTATGTTATTAATCAAAATCCAAGACAATGAAATCCCATTAAAGGACTCTTTTGCTCATGCTTCAGTCCTTTCAATTTTCTGTGGTTTAAGAATAGATGAAGATATTAGGTTTCGGCTTAATACTTTTATTCCTAAACTAATAGAAGGCTGCGTGATGTTTTTGTCATATGTACCCCACTAGGGGGAGCTGGGGAACCAACGAATGTTTATATTAACCTAATAGCTGTTCTCTAGTTGTAAAAGCTTTTTCATTAATCATCCAAATGATTTTTAAACAACTGGATTAAGATATGATTCAAATACTTAGAAAACGAAAAGTAATCAACAATGGACGTATCTTTCATGATTTCACCACCTAAACTATGTAGGTCCAGCAACTGTTAGCATGTCACAGTATTAAGACAACCAAAAAACGAACATATTATATGGTGCTGCCTAACAGGACTCGTGTCATTTTAAAAATAATAATCAAACAGGCCACCTGTGATGCTTGGGCAAAAAAGAATCGGGTCCCATTCATAGTTTGAACATATTCTCTACGCTACAATGACATCTGGGTCCCTGACTCGATCACGATGCCACCATTACATACAAATAGATTATTTGGTGGGTAGAAAAGGAACATTATAAATCAAAATGTATGTATAATTGTATGTGTCACGTTATTGGCAGTATAAAAACAATAAACAAGTTACAAAGGGGAGAATATGTGATTGCCTGGCTTGACACCTAGTCCCGAGAGGAACCATGTGAGGAGGTAGTTCACGCAAGTCTTCCTCCGCCGCCACCGACAAACATAAATTTACAGCCAGCGGTTATTCCGAAACTCTTTTTTTAATCCCCGCAGCCGGCACCGCATCTGCCTTTGACCGGCAATTGGATTCCACGTCCTTGCTCATCGCACTCCCCACCTACAATGACAATACGGGTATGACTAGGGTCTTGTGTTTGTTTGTAGTGCATCATCAAAAGGGAAAACTAAAAAGATAAAAATAACGAAACAAGTGGCAAAAATTAACAGTCCTGGTAAGAATCTTACCGGCGACTGCATCCCTACTGTGATTTCAACGCGATTGTCCGTACAAGTCATAAGGCGCCCATAATGCGTCCAGTGGACACGGCCGATTGGAGTCCAGCCTAAGCCACGGCTTACCGCTACCGGACCAATGCAAGAGGCTAACCGGACCGGGATGCAAGTCTCGACAACTTCCCTTCACATTGTCCCCACCCAAACCGTGTTGGTTCCATCTATGTTCGATGGCCGCCACGCTTCCCGCGAAAACCAACAAGAACGGCGGTAACGAACCGAGCTCGTAGATCCGGTTATGTTTCTGGATCTCCATCCATCTTTCTATCCGTTTCGTGTACCCGACCCGCCTCCACTTCACCAGATCTATTACCATCACCCCCGTGTTGAAATAACAGGGCTTCCTCCCTCTGAAAGTCCCCGAAAACCGCTGGTCCGACCAGAAACCGCCCGTGAAATATTTCGTGAAATTGGCGTAGCAATATTCCGGTGCCCCGATTGTACGTGAGCCCAGGTTGGTGCTCCACAGCTTAGAGATATCGTCAACGACAACTAGATCAGAGTCCAAATAAATCACTCTCCGTACGCACGGCTCTAGGAGATCAGCTAAGTAATTCCTAGCATAATTTAACGGCTGTTCAAGCGCTTGCCTAACGGAAGACGATATCAGGTTCCGTACGGTCTCGGGATCGAAATAATAAACCTTGAACTTCAACTCAGGGAACGTGGACCGGACAAGTGTTTCTAGACTGGGCTCCGATATTAGGAAATGGAAGAAAATGTTCTCCGGGCACAACGAATGCTGGAGAATGGAGTGGACGGCGGCGATTGACCCACGGAGATAGATCACATCGAGAGTAATAGCCACGTGGACTAAAGAAGGATCGCAGACGCCTCTGATTTTGTTATCGGTGGAGCCACATTCGTCGGCATTACTAAATCCGGTAGCTTTTCGAAAAGAAATCCGACCCTTCGATGAGTGTGGCGACGTAGACACCTGATATGACGGGAATCGGAGGTAGCTGTCTAGGTGAGAGGATCTAATGGCTTCAGCTGGAGGAAACGACTGGAGTGGAGGTGAGAGAATGATCATCACCACGGCTGCTGAAAAGAATCCAGAGAATCGCATTATCCAGAGCATCTTACTAGTGTAAATCCCTCTCCTCTTCTTCTTTTTAGATTTCAAATCGAGCCGATCTGCTAAGAGAGTAGACAGTGAGGACCGGAAGAACGATAAGATTCCTTTTAGGTCCGCCATAGCTCATGAGAATAAATATCGTGCGCCGTCGGCGTAACGCTCCCACTCCCTTTCACTTCTCCCCTCTCCGTCTCCTCCTCTTACTCTATGCAAAGAAACTGATGACAGCACATTAGAGAGAGAGGAGGCAGAGACTAGAGAGATATGGAGGTGATAGTTTTTTTCCCCTCTTAGCTTGCGTTTTCCACCCTTGAAATCTACAGCCGAACATAATTATAATTTTGGTCAAACACATCAATATTCACGTAAATATAGGTTAATTATAATTTGAATATTCACGTAAATATAGGTTAATTCTAATTTGAACATTCACATATTAATTTTATCGATCAAATTATTTAATTATTTTAATTGTATTAATTAATCCTCTTTCTCTGATACGATAATTAAATTATTTTATATAATTTTATATTTTATATTTTATTATTGTTTATATTCTGATAATTTAATCTTACTTTTAATTTAACCAAATAAATTTAATCTTTAAATTAAATGTTGATACGTATCGTGACACATGTCACTCAAAGTCTATTGATCAGAATGTAATGTATCATTAATATAAGTGATTATACATTATTTTTTAACTAATTATCAAAATAAAACATACCAAAAACAAAAAGGGTCTTCAATGTGGCTTACCCTTAAATTTAACAATAGGTTAATTCTTACATACATCTTGAAACTATAGCCTAGATCTTAAATTGGTCCTCGTATTTGAAGACATTCCAACTAAGTCTTGAAAGTATAGAAATCATATATTTTAGCGTTGAATGTTAGTCCAAATTTGACATAGAATATATTTATAAGTAGTTCGTATTAAAATTGAATCTGAACGGATTACATGGTTAACTTTTGACTTAATGTGTTAATAAATTAGTCTTCTAAAATGTTAGATCCAAACGATTTTTATAATTAGTGTACTATACACATAGGATGATAATTTGATTCGTGTATTTTAAATATATTTTAAATTAAATTAAAATTAATATCTAAAATTATTTCGAAGTTGTTGGAACGATTTGTTTGATACAAAAATGATAAATTAAGGGCTTGATTTAAATATGTAAAAACTTAGAAATCAATTTAAAATCTGAACAATAGTTTGAGGAGTAAACATAAGTCTTCAACAAGGCAAAAGAAAGCAGACCAACCCAAACCAAGAGTGGTTGGGTCGGAACCAAACCCGCTCGATTGCTTTTATAAGTCATGACCCGAATTTAAAAGTATGTAACTGAGTTAACACAGACGTTCTGCGTTCGTCCCTGCCTGTGATCAGTAACCTAGCCTTAGAATTTGCATTCGGCTGATGATTGTCGACAAAGAGAATAACATAAAAAGTTTATTTTACAAATGAATGATATCTGACGTGGGATCGATGAAATGAACATTAGATGTTAGTGAATGTTCGTCTCACAATTAATAGTAGCTCATGAATGTCTTCCCCTGGGTGAGAAACATCTATCTTATTTATAATTGTTTTCTAATATTATAAACATATTTTTTTTGTATGAGATGTTAAACAGGTCATTATTTGAGTTAATAACAAATATGCCCATAAAATTTCGGGTTAATTGCAACAAATGTTTTAAATTTTAAATTGATATTTATTGTAGAGGACTTTTGATCTATTTAAAAAAAAATAAAATGTTGTTTATCATGTAATTAATCATAAATCTCTCGATGTATATAATATTGTGCTCTTAGTCCCAAAATTTTATCCCCCGACCTTAAAGAAAATATGGGAAGCATCTCCTAATTTCGTATATCAATGGGATAATATAATGAAAACTTTATATTTTAAACTATATAAGACACTTGTATTCAAGTGTGTTATCGGAAACTCTATATATCTTATACAGGATATAAAAATTAAAAGATAATCTCAATATTCTCTTTATATCAAAAGACCTAACCCCAAGACTTGTAACTTAATACAAATGTCCCAAGCACACAAAAGTTAGCTCAAATGATACTATACCTACCCTTAAAATTTCCTTAGTGAACCCTTTATACACCATTTTCAAAGTAGGAGAGAGTATTTACAGCATTTTTGGAACATAGAGATAAATTTTTAATATTAGAATTAAACATAAACATCTTGAAAATATGATATTAAATTTATTAAAAAGTCTTTTAAAAAATCATAAATATTAAATTCTAAATCCTAAACCTTAAGTTTTAAATTCTTAAAAGTATAATATTAAATTTATTGAAAAGTTTATGATCAACTGTTTAACATAGAAGAATTTAAAAACTTTTACTTTTTATATATCCATTGCAAACACTATTTTCAAATGCAACAAATTTAAAAACAAAAAGTAAAACATATGTTCACCAAATAAAACCTATAATTCTATTCGAATGATGAAAAAAATGGCAAGCTATTGCTGCTTGTTACATACATGTACGGTTGTAGTACAAGAGTAGGGCACAGAAACACGAGTAGCCGTATTGATTTAGCAGTTTGTTTGTTGCATGTTAGAAACCTACTAAATTAAGATGTATCCATGTGACCATGTGACCATTATCTTCCCCCATTGCTTTCACAAATGATTATAATCATTATATATCATCAAAACGGATCTATAAATATAAATATAAATATAAATATATATTTATAATATAAAAGTTGTATGACGAATGGAATGAATAAAATAAATAGTTAATTGAATAAAATTTAAAAATGGATTTATAAATGTTTTTAAAAATAAATATATATATATATTGATAATATAAAAAAATGTATATAAAATAAATATCAATAAAATTGTAAAATGAATATAATAACTAAAAATTAATTAATAAAAAATTCGAATTTAAAAAATAATGTATTCTACTACATCAACGCCGTTATGTCCCTTCATTTCACCTTTTGGAACAACAAATTGTTTCCAAATATTACTGATCATTTGTTGAATAACAAATTTGTTCTTAAAGGACCGGGTCCCGCAGAACCATGGATGGATCCCATGTTGGTTCTTTAATTAATTCACCTTTCGCATCAGAACAGACAAAGTTGAAGGTAACAACAGTTAAAATTTTACAAGTCCCGTCAATACATTATTAAAAATATATCGATATTGACTATTAATTAAATTATATATATTAAATAAATATAGAAAAGTATAATGATTTATCCATAACTTGTGCTTTATTATTATCCAATTTAATTTTAAATAGGAATATAATTGAATTATATTATTTTATTAAAAATTATAAATATTAAAGTAATTATTATTTTTTAAAATTAGAACACTTAATTTATATAAATTTATATATTTACCCCGTAACAATCATCAAAATCAATTATTAACAACCCTATCCTCAAATAATGTATTATGTCCACCAACAAAAAAATGTATTAGTCATAAATCTATATAATTTCGATATTATAGTGTTATTTTTTTTTTTTTGTTTGTGTCCTTTTTTATTTTCATAATCTATATTCTTATTTCCAATCTTATTTTTTTTACTGACAATTATCCAACAATATTTTTATCTTCTAATTTTCAGATTTGGCCAATGGGTTTTGTTTTTGGTTTATTTTGTTGTTTTGAGTTTTGTAAATTCACAAATCGCTAATGCAATTGTTGAAGTAATTGTTTTTATTAAGTCAATTCTTTTCATTGTGGATATTTTTTAATTACTAATACTTCATCTTAACTTATTTAATTATTTATCGGTCCCTATAATTTTTTAGCTTTTTTACCATTGAAGATTAGATAGAACGATTCATTACACGATTTTCCGAAAATGATAAGGCCTCCGGCGATAGTGGTTTAGATGGTTGTTATTTGAATGTATATGCAAATTTATAGAAAATAAGTATTCTAATCCTAAAAGATAATAAATTTCTAAAATAATTACATTTTAATACAAATATATTTTAATTATATTCCTATTCAAATTTAAACTAGATAATAATAAATGATTAATTGTGGATATATCATTATATTTACATATTTATTTAATAAGAATAATTTAATTAGAGGTGTGCATCGGTGTATTATCTTAATAGTGTGTTCCGGTGTATGATATACACTCTAGACTCATCCTGTCAACAGATTAACTGAGTGAGTTTTCCTATTTACTCATATATAAGTTGATATGACAATGATAAAACTTGGTTAGATTTGAATTTAAAATAAATTTTATATATTTTAAATTTAATTTAAAATTAGTTTATATAATTTTAATTTTCAAATATATTTTATCAAAATAAAATATTAATTCAATTCATTTAATAATACAACATTAAAATAAATTTTAATAACATAATTTAATATTATATATATATATATATTATTTTTATTAAAAATTTTATTAATAATATATAAATACATGAAAGTAATATTTTTGTATACATCTCAATGCCGAAATAGATTACGATTACTTTTAAATTTAAGAAAAAAGAATACAATTTAAAAATTGTATAATACGAAAAAAAAGCTCTCAACATTTATTAAAATAATCATCTTAACCTCTATTTTTTTAGTATAATTTAATCTTTAACGTTTTATTTTATGACAAAAAATCTCATAATATTTGACTGAATAGTTAATTTGACACTTATTTTTTTAGAACATTTTGATCATAACATTTCATTTTAAGATAAAATACTCTTATTTTAAAGCGCTAAATATTTGTTAACTAACAGTTTCCATCTAAGAATAAACATTTTTGTCTTAAAATAAAATGTTAGAATCAAAATACTAAACAATTAAAGACCAGAATAATCATTTTAATAAATATTAAAGGTTAATTTTGATATATATATGTAAAAATTGATTATGACAAATCAGATTAAATCAAATATAGGTTAGATACGATTTTGTTGTACTTCTTAAATAGAGCCAACTTTACCACGAAAGCCAATGGCGATCAGAAACGCGGCTTTAGGTGGGTTGTTTTGTATTAGCGATGGATGAGATTAGAGTTCAAATCACATCACTTTATTCCTTCACCCTCCGTCATTACTTGTCAATTTTTAGTGTACTACTACACTTTTCAGCTCAACTCTCTGGCAAGTTTAATATTAGAACGTGGGAACTTAAATTAATATATATCAATTACATTGGAATGGGTAACATAAAAACCATGATCCACACGCATTTTTATTTTTAAAATAATTTTTGATAATTACATTGAACTAACATAATTAATAAGTCAGCGATTAATATATAAATGAATAGAATTTAATAGGTGATAATATAAATAATTAAAATATTTTGAATTAAATGAATAAAAATATATAAATATAAAAGAAAATTAATAATATGATAACTTACCCATAATAATATGAATGCAACTGAACAGTCTAAACTTTAATAATATTTAAATGGATAAAGATTCTGATGAAAACGGCCCAATTCAAACCTTTAATAATAACCCATTGTTGAAGTTTGTGGAGGCATAATAAGCGTCGGATATAATAATAATTTTAGGATAATATATATATATATATTATATTATTTTTTGAAATAAGTATAAATAAATTTTTAGAATAAATACTATTAATAAAATAAAAAATTAAAGAGAATCCCCCAAGACGAGAGCCAATTGATAGATGTATTAGGAAAGCTTAAACTATCATTTCACCAAAATAAAAAATAAAAATAAACAATTAAAAAATTTAGATTTTAGAAATAACACAAATACATCTGAACTCTACCTACATCGGCCATTGTGCACACGCGTTCATTGCAGAACTGAAGTTGGGGTTGAGAAGTGAGTGGGGCAGTAATAGTTGAAAGGGATGCGGCAGCTCTAGTCACCAAAGGACGACCTTTTCCTGGTGGAATTTCACCTCCAAGAAGTCTTAGATAATTTTTGTTATTAAATACAGTAATATTAAAATTTATAGGATAATATAAACATCATCATTTATTGGATCTAAAAAATCTTAGTATTAAAGTACATGGAGCTACTGTATGATTGTTAGGCTAACTGAAATCTGTTTTGTTAATGGTTGAGCAGCTGGCCTGCTCAATACTGGGCTATATATACCCATCCTTCGTACATTTGGGCTCTTCATTTTACAATCTTTTATCTGCTTTGACTTTTGTTAAGTTTTCTCTCTCATCTTTACTAAACTCTTTCTCATACTTAGTCTACTGTTCGTTGACAATTACTCCATCCTCAGCTCCGGTTTCTAAAGTTTCTATTACTTAGATATTTCGTGCGAAATAGGAGCTTTCATATTCATTACAGGCAAATGATGCAGCCCACGAGCTGACCCAATGATCTTTTAATTATAATTCATCGTTGTATCGGTAATAGTAGCATGAATAGATCTTAATTAAACTAATAAAAAACTTCATGATTTTCCAGCACTTCTGGTCCCAGATAATTAGTTTGTTAGCCCAAAACGAACAATTTATTGGTTTTCAATCACAAGCTAAGAACAACAACATTAAATGATTGAACACCGTCACCGATTCACCGTTGACAAATGATGGCAGAGCTAAGCTTCCTCGCTTCACTCGGTACAAGCTGACCTTGCGCCATCACCAACGATTTGTAGATCTCGACGAGTATCTTCTCGTCGTACTCTTTAATCGGACGCTTCCCAAAGGCCGATATACCATGATCCCCCATGGCTCCACCGTATCCGGTAACCACCCTGGAGTTGGCTAACCCCAGCATCATCTTCACGTACGCATCGCGTAACCAAACAAAAAATTTATTGGGCGAGGGTAATCTCAGCTTTGCCTTGACCCTGATCTTCCAGAACCGCTTCCGCCTCGATGACCCGCCAAGCTCCACCCTTCTCTGCCGTGCTTCTCCTCTCGAAGCACCATTTAGCTGAACATAGCCCCTCCTCTGCCAGTACCCTCTCAAACCCTTGTACACGGTCGTAGAAACACCTTCCATCACTGTTTCTCAATTTTTGTACTTTTTCCCAGTGAAACTAACATGGAAAGTGAAAGGAAGAGAGTGACGGAAGGTTGAAGAAGATACGTATACATATATATATTAATATAAATTAATACAGTAAGTGAAATATACAGAGTAGAGGGTGGTGGTGGTAAAGGGAGAGATGCAAATGAATTAAATATGGAGCAGTGCCTGTATTTCTCACTGTCCATATTAAATGTCTGTCTGGCCATTCAACGTGACACATTATTGAACTCTTAATATATTTAGAACTGTTAATATATTTAACTAACCGACGTTTGAGATAAACGTCTTAACAACGTCACCTTATAAAATATGAAGTGAAAGGATTTTTGTGTAAGATAGGGTGCAACTTATAATTTGAAGGTCGGATGATGAGGAAGAATGAGATATATGTCTTCTTTAAAAATACATTTATTAAGAGATAAAATCTAATATATTCTAAATTCAAAATCCAATAATTAATGAGAGATTCACAATCATCATATCACGTAATAAAGATAAAATAGAAGAATAATCTAAAACACTAAATCAAGTAATGATCTTGAATCACCTGCAACCTATAATCATCCTAAGTATCATGTCTTTGATTATCATATTATATATCATTAAAATTAACGATAACAAAGAGAAGAAAAACAATTCTCTCGTGTTAGGGTCTCTTCTCTCCCTCTTTTATTTCTCATTTTTTTCTCAAAAGATCATCATTTCGTCTTAATAAATCAGGTATTCTCAAAGATTATTTTAATTATTGTAATATTTCAATACTTTTTTGTTCAAATAAAAATGAAAAACTATTATTAAACTACGTTTCAAATTCTTTTCCAATTAACTCTTATTACAAATTAAAAGAAATAAACCACTACTAAATATTACCTACCTATATCCCACTAATTAAACATCAGCGGTTTACTTCTTTTAATTTGTAATAAGAGTTCATTGGAAAATAATTTGAAACGTCTCATTTTCTAATTTGCACGTCCATAAAACTCGGGAACTGCAATGGACATCATTTACTACTAGGTTTTGGTTTTGTGGGCATCTTTGGACCCACGATATTTAAAACAATTAAAATATTGTCGAACCATATCAAGTTTTGCGTGTTTGACATTGGTCTAGTTATTGGCCGAGATTTATTTTACTGAAGCTTCTTCATATGTAGGTTCATGCTTATGTGCGTATTATTCATTTATTCAACGTAAAATTATGTTATTAGTTTTTTTTTTATTAAAAATGTTATCATATTTAAATTTTAATAATATAAAAATAATATGTTTAAATTACTATAATTTAAAATGATTAAATTAAAGAATAAATTTATACCTACTCGGGTAAGGCTCTTATGAATGGGCTTAGCCATTGAGACTGATAAATGCTTACTATGTGGCAATAAGACAGAGACAAGAGACTATCTATTCTTTGATCGTCGGTTTGCTAAGGAGCTGTGGGGCTCCATTCTCGATCTATGTAACATCTCTCGTGGAGTTAGCAGCTAGGATGGTGAACTGGCTTAGGCTTTTCTACTATTCAAGGGTAAATCTCTCATTGTGAGAATTCTTAAACTTCCTTGGACTGGTAACGTTTATGGCACATGAAAGGAAAGGAATGGCATATTGTTTGGGAGTAGAGCTAGATCAAAGGAAGAAGTGCTGGGGGATATTAAAGAGACCATTCGAATCCGGCTGGAAGGCAAAACTTTCAATAGAGCAGACTCGTTCAACATTGCCCTATGCGTAAAGTGGGGCATCGCCCAAGTAGGTTCTGTCTCATTGTTCTGGTTATATGCTAGCTGGATTAGCTTAGTGAGATTTCATAGCTTTGCTAATGAGTTGTTTATTGACTCTGTATTCTGTAGCAGGCTTTCTGCTTCTTGGGTAATAAAATTGAATTATCCAAAAAAATAAAATTATACCTACAGTTCATATACAAATTACCAAGGCATGCTTTGCAGTAGCAAAATACCATTAACATGGAAAGCATATGATGATCCCGGACAGCTCTTTCCGCATGATTATCCCGGACATGCAATGCATTGACACAAAAACTGATAAAAAATCAAATTCTATATATAAAAAAACCGTAAAAGCTAAATAATGTAAACATCCTTCGGGTCTTTGACGATGATGCATTACCGGACAAGATAATTTTTCCTCCTCAAAACTGATCGGAAAAGATGAAAATAATGACTCCACAACTATCATTAAAGTGAAATATCTATGTTCTAAGTAAAAAAAGGACCTTCCACATATGCAGGAGCATAATGGGACTGATATAAAAAGGGGGGAAACAGGTCGAACATGGAGCTGCAAGCCTCAACCCGGCATCCGAGTATTAGGATGCTGAAAAAAGAATATTTGTATGGCTTTCGGACTCTTCAGACGTTTACCATGGCTATTTGAACGACTTCATAAGAACATACTTTATCATCGTTTCGACTATATGTGAACTCCAAGAAAATAATGACCACTGATTTTCATTCCACTCCAACCAAGTGTCCTGCAAATACGAAAATAAGTTCGGATAAGTTTTGGCATATAACAATTTTCTAAGGATTTAGGCCCCCAGAAGCAGCAAAACTGATTTGCTTTACAAATAAGGGATTCAGATCAGGCCAAAGTACAAAATGATAATACAATCTAGACTTGTTACAATAAAAGCTCACTTTAATAACAACAGTCGTCAAGGGATTCAGATCAGGCCAAAGTATTTAGAGTAAATGATAATGAAGATATTTAGAGAGAGCAATTCAGGCATAATTGAAATTACAGAACTAGAGCGACCAATATAGGAATTTAACAATGAAATCAGACTTTTAAATTCATACCTTCAATCGAAATTGAATCCACCAGAGGGAACAGCAAGTTGATTGCCTCCAAACTGGAACCCAGATTGTGAAGCGTCACCAGGGGGTAATGGCTCATCATCTTCTTCCACCCAATAAGTTTCGAGAATCTTCACTGCCTTCTCATATATTTCACTGTTGTCATGACTTTGGAGATTTTCAATCTTTTCCAATCCTTCAGCATCATCAATTAACTGGGCATAGAGATTTCCGTCTCCAGTGTGGGCCAGGTTTTTCTCTGCTTCACCAACCTTCAAAATGTTCTCAAGACCTTCCAAACATACTGTGACAATTCTTGGGTCGGGACAGTTCAGAAGATCACATAATGGCTTAATGCAACCTTGGCTCACGAAAAACCTGGTGAACAACACAGAAAGTTAATAATTTATGGCAAATTGTTCCAAGAAGAACCGGGGAATGAGCAAAGGGAATATACTTTATCTGTTCATGGGTACCGCCAGATGTAGCATTTGAAATTGCCCAAGCAGCTTCTTTCTTGACCTCAAACTCAGCATGTTGAAGTAGATGGACTAGAGGGGCAAAAATCCCAGCCTCAATTACAGCCTGCAAATAATTCTCAAAATTCATGATCCAACCGAAAACCCCATTCATGCAGGACAAAAATTGCCCCAACAAAATTGAAAACTTTCCAGTTTCATTTTTTTCCCCGGTTAATTTGAAGGTAAAAACTTTTCAGTTTCAAACACATGCCATAGACCATCAAAGCATAAGTTTGTCGTGTCATATAACTAGCTTTACCTGTATCTGATCTACATTTCCAGCAGTGATGTTTGAGATAGTCCAGCAAGCTTCCTTCTTGATACTCTTCTTATATTTATTTGTCAGCAGGTTCAAGAGTCATGGCAGGGCTTGGTGGCTAATAATGCACTGAATGGGGTAACAACATAAAGAATCAGAGTACTACAGCAAGAGGCAACTTAAGGCAGTGACACGAGACAAGAAAAATTCTATTTGAGAGAAAAGCAGATGACATTATTAACTTATATCACTAACAATTGATAATCCTTCAGATCAAAATGCAGATTGAAGGCATAAACTATGATTTATCTTAGAATATGACAATTAACCAGGAATAATTTTTCACCAAAAACAATTATGCATGAATCATATAAGAAGTGCAATTTTTGCATAGTCTACAATCTTTACATAACAAATCTTCTAATTTCTTGATTCTTATACAAGGAAATATTTGAAGTACAATGTTATTAGAATAAAACTGACTATGCATGTAGTGTGAAAACCGCAAAAGTTCCAAGTTCTCAAAATATTTTTTTTCTTCACAGTCTACAACCATTACCAAAACAATTATGCATGAATCATATAAGATGTGCAATTTTTGCAGTTTACAATCTTTACATAACAAATCTTCTCGTTTCTTGATTCTTATGGAAGGAAATATTCGAAGTACAAAGTTATTAGAAGAAAACTGACTGTGCATGTGAAGTGTGAAAACCATTTAAAAAGTTTCGAGTTCTTGAAATAATACTCGAGCTTTAAAATCTTTCTTAAAATGCCAAGCTTTAAATTCTTCAGAAGCTCATTGATAATCAAATGGGAAAAACACATGTGAAGGAACAACACTCTAATAAGAGTTACAGTGAATATTGGCTAATTATATAATACTATGTATCACTTGCTGTTTTCTCAAACAAAAGATACCACAGAATTGAGTAGTACATCCACATTGACTGGAAGAGACAATCTGTCAAAACAATCTTAATAAGAAAATATCAACACTGACCCCAAAAGGTTTAAGACTTTAAGCACTAAGAAGCGCTACCATAAGTCAGAAAAATTCTAATGAGTTGTGTACAAGAACAAGGATAATTACAAACAATATCTCATGGGAACACAATCAAAATAACAATTGAGAAAGTAATAAATGTCGTGCATTCCATACCTGAGTCTGCATATCATCCCCTGTAACAATATTCCCAACTGTGCGAAGAGCCGGAATGAGGACTGTCGGGGATGGATGACTAACAACAAGAAGGGGATGAATGAGAAATAATCACAAGGAAAACAAATACATCAAATTCAAAAAGGGAAAGAAGTTCATCACTTACAGCAACAGCTCAACAAGTCGAGGGCAGACACCTGCCTCGATAACAGCTTGGATTTTGTCATTAGTACCATCTGAGAGATATGATAGGGCCCAACATGCATCTGTAAGGACTTCCTCGTCATTTGAATGGATAAGTCGCTCAAGAGTTGGCAAAGCAGGCTTTGTCTGCTTATTTAATTTCAAAAGCATCATGTATTAGCAAAAATCGGCATCCGCCAAAAAAAGTCATAACTCCAACCATTCTTGTTACAAGAAAATCCAACCTGCTCAAACGAAGGTTGTGGTTTGCCCCTACAAAAGTTTGACAAAGTCCAGGTAGCATTCCTCAACATAGAGAGCTTTGCATGCTCATTAAATTGTGCCAACAAAGGCACCAAGGCCCCATGACTAAGAACTAGATCACGGCATTTAGGAGAGTCTCCAGCAACATTTCCTAATGCCCAAACAGCCTGTAATGCCAAAATAATGATAAGACATAAGAGAATTGCAAATAAACTGTGTTAACAAATAGAAGAACACTAGCAAACTGCAGTTCATACCTGTTCGCGTACATCATCCGCGGGAGAGTCAAGGAGTTTAACAAATATAGGTACAGCTCCATGATCAATTACAACTCTGGTATTTTCGGATGTCCCTGAAGCAATATTTGTGAGAGCCCAAGCTGCCTCAAACTACAAAACAAAAAGATAAAACAATCAAAGCAAATAAATATGAAAAATGATAGAGCAAGAGGATACTAAATTCAGACACAGAATACCACACCTGAAGCTGAGGGAAGTCATCCCTAGCAAGGAACTCAACAAAGCGAGGTACAACACCTGATTGTACAACTTCGTTGATTGGAGGACTACGTTCTGCAGATAAAATTAGAATAAACCTCAAATTTCCAACAAAACACAATACCAAACATGAGAAACATCAAGAATCATAATCAACCTATTGATAACAGCTTTCGGAATTGAGTGGTTGCCTCAAGCTGCGCATTCCTGTCATCTGACCAAACGCCCGCAACCATAGCAGAAAGACTTTCTAACTGCAATTAGATTTTAAAAACATCAAAATCAATTTAAATTCAACAGTAAATAAATAAACAACACTATCCATTTTCTTCTCGAGGCTCACTATACAATCAATAAATTAGTTCATTTGATTAATACAGTTTCAGCTACCTACTAATCAGCAATTTATAACACTGCAAAAAGTATTATCCAACCCAAATAAAGCAACACCCATTCAGCCCGGAAATTCATGTATGGAAACAAAATTAAACATAGTTTATCATTCACGATCCGACTGATCAAATCGAGTAATCGGCAGAAGATACCTTTTTCTCAGGACCGGCGCCGGAAGAGATCATCTGATGTTGCTGCGGTTGTGTTTGTTGAGCGATAAGTCCTTCGCGGCGCTTCTTTAGAAGATTCTCTTCTCTCTTGCTCTTTCGGATCTCCACCATGTTGTCTTCTCTCCTCCGCCGACCTTCCTCCGAATCAACTGCCACCTTATACCTGTTCCGTCGAACTTCAGTCCTCGCGCTCGGTCTCAGAGACATCTTCGCGTTTTTTTTAAGTCGATCTGATCGAGTCGCCGATTAATTTGAAGGTGATATAAGGGGTTCGATGTTCGGTGATCGGTTGTTATGAGAAAGCGACAGGGAAAGAGAATTGAGTTTTTGGTACGTTAATTCGATTATTGGATCGGGAGAATTGAATTTGAACTTTGGGGAGCCCTATCGTTCCAATGCCGTTATGGAATCCAGCTCAAGGATGCAGGAACAGATCAATCTTTTCCTTTTTCGAAATTGAGATACAAATAGGCGTCGAATAGTGTTGAGTTTCACTGGATTTAAAAAATATAAAATTGAATTCGACTTGATTTAAAAATTTGGGAGTTTAAAATTTTTAAGTTTAATTCGAAATCGAAATAAAGCATTGAAGCTCAACTCGGTTTGAAAGTTCGTGAGCTTAAAATTTTCAAGTTTCACTCGAAATAAAAAATTGAATCTTGACTCAAATTCGAATATAAACCTTAAATACATAAAAGTTTTATATAGTATTTTTTAAATAACATACAAATGGTAATATTATTAATTTAATTTAAAAATCTAAAATTTTAATTTACATTATTTTATTCTAGTACCTCGCGAGTTTTTCAAGTCGAGTATCAAATAGTTCATTTTGGTTCATTAAGAATTTGAGTCGAGTCTATTAGACTCAAGTATTGACCAAACTTTGAATGATTCGATTTAAAATAACTCGTGATCTGTCTCGCCTCGTTTACAACATTAGATACAAACTATACTTGTTATGGACGAAGCCTATGCTTTTTTTCAAATACATCTAATATATATTAAATATTTCTAAAAATTTATTATTAGATCAAATATTAAAATCAATCATAATTTAATTTAGAGAAAATAATCTCAGTGACCAAAAATGCCTTATAATATACGATTTTAATCAACTTTTTTTGGATTTACCAAAATGACCAACTAAATCGCAATGCGATCGATAATTCGCAACGCAATCTCCGGTATCGTAAATCAGTTTCCAGATTCGCAACGCGAACTGCGACTATCGCATTGCGATTTACATATTCGCATTGCGATAGTCCAAGTTCGCGTTGTAATTTATTCCAAATTCGTTGCGATAGTCCAAGTTCGCATTGCGATTTATTCCAAGTTCGTTGCGATAGTCGAAGTTCGCGTTGCAATTTATTTCAAATTCGTTGTGATAGTCTAAGCTCGCGTTGCGATTTATTCCAAGTTCGTTGCGATAGTCGAAGTTCGCGTTGCGATTTATTCCAAATTCGTTGCGATTTATTCCAAATTCGTGCGGACATGTCGAAGACACGTATTACCACGACCACGACCACGACCCGACCCGACCACGACCCGACCCGACCCGACACGGACGGCGGCGGCGGCGGTGCGCGAGAGTCCCCCTTGTTCTCTATCACTCAACAAGGAAGTGGGAAAGTCAACCCTTAAATACCATTCCCAATATTGTTTCCAATACTATGTGGGATTGAGCATTACCAACACTTGTTCCCAATACTATGTGGGATTGAGCCTTAAATAGTGATATTATTTTTGAATATTTTGCTTAAAATTACAATAATCGTGATTGACTTTTAATTATGACATATTTAATCGTATAATACTAATGCAATTGGTTGTTGATTTAGTTGTTTTAAGGTGCATGATTGTTAATTGTTTCCTGAATAATCACATTGTATTAGAAACAAGTGTTGGTAATGCTCAATCCCACATAGTATTGAAAATACTATTGGGAATGATATTTAAGGTTTGGCTTTCCCACTTCCTTGTTGAGTGATAGAGAACAAGGGAGACTCTCGCGCGCCGCCGCCTTCCGTCTCGTCTCGTCTCGTGGTCGTTGTCGTGGTAATGGTCGTGGTAATACGTGTCTCCGACACGTCCGCGCGAATACTATTTTTTTAGAGAAAATTCTTAAGAAACAAATGCAATACCACCAGTCGTTGCGATTTTGGAATAAATCGCAACGAACTTCGACTATCGCATTGCGATAGTCCAAGTTCGCATTGCGATAGTCCAAGTTTGCATTGCGATAGTCGACTATCACATTACGATTTACATATTCGCATTGCAATAGTCTAAGTTCGCATTGCGATAGTCCAAGTTCGCATTACGATAGTCGAAGTTCGCGTTGCGAATCTAGAAACTGATTTACGATACCGGAGATCGCGTTGCGAATTATCGATCGCATTGCGATTTAGTTGGTCATTTTGACAAATAAAAAAAATGGTTAATATCGTATATTATAAGATATTTTTAGTCAATGAAATTATTTTCTCTTTAATTTATAAATATAAATAAAATAATGTAAAGCTTCGTTGTTAATCAACATTGATATTTGACACTTATTTTCATTAAAAAATAGTACAAATGTATAATTAAAAATGGACTAAGAATTCATTTGATCGATTAGTCAAGCTAGTCATTTTTTATTCTCTTACATTTTCGTAGGTCATAATATCTAGATCCACTAAGGGGGTGTTTGGATTGGGGAATGTGGGATTCCCATGGGAATGGAATCCACATTCCCCCGTTTGGTTAGCCCGGGAATCCTATTCCCGGTAATGTAAGATTACCAATAGTGGATTTTTTGGGGTATATTACCGGGAATGTCATTACCTCCCTTTCCTTAGGTATTGTTGGATTACCGGCGTTTTGGACTAAAATGCCCTTAAATTTTTATTTTTTTTCAAAAATATATTTATTCTGTCATCGAATAATAAAAATTTTACGAATGTTAAATTACAAATTTATCCTTAAATTATTTTAGATTTACAAAAAAAAATCTATAATTAAAATTTTATATAAAGTTCAAGGGTTTAAATAAAATTTTTACCCTTTCATTAAACTTTTTTTTATTTTTAATTTTGTAAAAAATATATAAATATTATGAATTTAATTTTTTTAAAGAAAATATATAAATATTTTCCAACTTGTAATATTACACAAATATATAATTAGGACAATTTGGTCAAATATACATTCCAATAATCTTTTATTCCTTTAACCAAACACGGTAATCTTACATTCCTGCTAAGCCAACCAAACACAAAATACAACATTCCCAGTAATGTTATTCCTTGGTAATCTTACATTCCCACTGGTAATCTTATATTCCGTGAACCAAACGCACCCTAAGAGTAATCTTCTTCCTTCTTCCTCAGGAGTCTCCTCCCCTACTCTTCTCTAATAGGATTAGGATTTAAATTTAAAATTTGTAAAAAAAAAAAAACTGACCAACAATTCATAATCAAGTGTCATCTCTAATTTATAATCCCTTATAATCCCAAATATGGCTTAAAAAATGCAAATTGTTTTGTAAATTGATGGAATTTTTCCTAGAGTATTAGACATTTTTTAAACTGTGCTTCATATAATTAGCCCTTTGTCCTTCAACTAGTAGACTAAAAAAATATACTATGCACTAAATTCACTAGCTGCCATGGTATTATCTTCTCGAAAAGGGAAGATAAAGAAAATACATGTCATGGTTGTTGTTACGGCGGCGGGGGTGGTTGAGGTGTAGAAAGTGGAGGAATTGCATAAAATATGGTATTCTTGTCGATCCCGGTTTTACTTCCTTCCAACAAAGCCACCAGTGCTGCAACCAAACCTGCATTCCCAGCGATTGTTGGCTCCGTGAAATTGTAATCAGATCGGTTTTCTTGGAAACCGTCATACTTATCAGGTCCAGCAACCATAGCTCCGACAATTGTATTTGGATTCGGCTTTTTACTCTCCTTCCATTTTAGTCCTTCTCTACAGCTTTGATGCTTGATGTAGCTGGGAATTGATGCACCTTTATGATACACATACTTAGGGAAATGATCACTAAAGCCAACCACGTAACTCAATCTTTGCGGATTTCTCCCCAGGATATAATTAATCTGCGACTTCGCAATGTCTCGAAATGTTTCAATCGGATAAAACTTGGCCCCGCACTTTAATGCCGGTGTCATTGTCGCTTCGAGGTAATCGGCATACAGTGCAGCCAGAAAAGCCGCATTCACGACGTATTGAAGAGGTTTAGGCTTACCGTGGTTTAGTTCAATTAGGCCTCCTTTCGTCCTGTTGAAGTTATTGAACCCTGGAAGGTATGAGCAAACGATTTCGGTTATCTGTTCTTGAAAAGTCCTTAACATTTCTTCATACGGATAACCGAAATCTAAGAACATTCTCACTCGACTAAGAAGCAACTGAGCACCCGCATGCTTGTTGTCCCAACTGAGTACACCGCGATTGGGACCGCCCCAGAAAGCCTCGGCATGTTTTGCCAGACCGGGGTCTGTAACAAGGTCGATATAGGATGAGTTTCCAGTTGCAAAATACATCCAAGCGCCTCCCCAGACAAACTCGTCCCAGAAACCGGTCGAATTATAGAATTTCGAAGAGAGGTCTGAACCACCGGTATAGTGTTCGCCTTCACCTTTTGTAGCAAACTTAAAGAGTAAATCAGCTCCATGGACTAATTTCTTTGAGTATTCTATGTCATCTTTGAAAACAATTGATGCAGCACCTAAGGCAGCGGCCATTTCTGCAGCTAAAGCTGGGCAGGTAGAACATGGGATCGCAGGCCTCGGGTAATTAATGCTCTCAGGACGTATCCAACAGTCTCCGTTGTCGGTTTTCGCCTCGGAAGAATCATTTGCATCGCCAACTTGTGAAGCAACCTTGTCTATTGTTTTTGCAGAGGAGTTAAAAGTCTTCAGTAGGTAATCCGTGCCCCATTTGATTATGTCCTTGACATGGTTGAGCTCTCCAGCAGCTTCATATTTTGCACTATACTCGAGTACGCTCCAACTCAAAATGGTCATGGCAAAAGATGCCGGAAAATTATATTTAACCATATCTCCACCGTCGTAGTAGCCCCCCTCTAGCCCTTTCAAATAGCCTTTCCCGTCGTCCAAGCACGAGTCACCCCGCCACGAAACATTGTTATTCGCAGAGAGTTTTCCAGCTGAAAAAGGAAGAGCAAACTTAACACTATAGATTCATCGATGATCATTGATAAGAGTAAAATGTCGAGAAATTTCACCAATCTTCATCACAAATAATGTTGGCAAATCAGAATCGAAACTAAAACCTTGTAACAGTCTAAAAGAAACATACATCTTTGAGCATTAAAGAACATAAGCGCCCGATGAAGAGCAACGGTGTAGTTGTCCTGGACGGGGAGAGGCCGCTGGCGGTTTCGTCTAGCGACTAGAAAAGCGACAAGGGCAGCAAATCCGGCCAATATGGCAACCACGACCAGGGTTCTGATAAACACTGGGGGATTAATATTGACGCAACGTTTCTTCTTCCTCGTGTTAATTTCCATGTCCATGGCAGGTCTTAGTAACCAGCCTTGCTTCACTTCTTCTTCCGATGGTGATTGATACGCTGCTCTGTCGTAGTAGTGGGCGTTTTCAGTGCCTTGTTCTTCGTTTTCTATGGTTATATCAAAATTCCGACACCGTATGTTTGATCTTTCTGGCATTTTTTCTTCTTTTGGCCGTGTCTTATCTGTGATGAATTTATGATTCTTTACAAGCTTGACCTGCATGTTAGCTGGCATTCCTAATTTACTTAATCCGAAAAGTGGAAAGAATTCAAAGATTAATGCATTGAATTTGAATTACGATAACATAGGCAAGTGGGAAGGTACACAAAACTCTTCTTTATCGTTTCTGATTTGCTCTAATTAATGTTTTCCCTTGATATTAATGGTTTCCCCCTATTAGTTAATTAAGTTCATTTTTAAACTTAATCACTCTATAGATATGAATAATGTATCGTCATCAAATTTAATTTTAAAAATTTTGTTTTACTTCTTAAATATAAAAATGAAAACTTATGTTACCATCTAAATTCATTTATTCCACGACTTTAAAGTAAGATGATTTGATCAAATTAATTAAATTAATTTATTTAATTTTATTGATAGAACATAAATTTGAACTTGTCTCTAATATGAACTTTATTGTCAAATTTGAAAGATAAACGATTCATTAACACATTTCGAGAGAAAAGATCAATTATTTTATGAATGATAAATACATTAATGTTCCATAAAAAATGAGAAAATAGTTTATAGAATTTAAAACCGACAACAATGTATACCTTGTCGTACGTATCTTCTGAAAGAACATTATGACTCATAATTAATAGTATTAAAATATGATATTTTCACTGTTTAATTTCATATTAAGCATCTCAATAGATAAAGTAAGTATGATGGATCTTATAAAGAGAATGTCACAAAAAAATTAACAAAATAAAATATCATATCACAAGTCATATAGTACATTAGTTTTACATCGAAAAGAAAGAAAAAATTTAAAAACAATTAATTATACATATTATTATTGAAACTATTCATTGGATTCATCAATTTAGTTTGTGTAAAGTATATTTAATTGAAGAAAAATTCTATAACGTTCGTCGAGCATTGATGAGTATCGTTAACGACGAACATTGTTAAATTAATTTATAAAACATTAAATTATAAAGTACTAAATGTATAATTATAAATTAGTTAAAAAATATAAATGTAATTTAATTAAAATATAATATTTATAAATATTAGTTTTTAGGGTAAATTATATTTTATTTTAATTAAATTACATTTAAATTTTTAACTAATTTATAATTATACGGTTAATACTTTATAATTTAATATTTTATAAATTAATTTAATGATACTCATCATTAACAATGTTTATTCATACTCATCGAGCGTGATAATATCATACTTTAACTGAATCACTTAAAAACAAAATTAATATATTAACTTAAGTATGAAATTGGTGAATTAAATAATTTTTTTAATCGAACCAACAGTTTTTTTTGGAAAGAAAGTAGTGCTCTAAAAATTAATGCCAAAGAAATAAATTCATTAGGCGGTTGGGCGCTACCGCGCTGCACTTCTAAAACCTGCCTCCGCTTTTAGTGGTTTATCTATCGCAATTCATACGAAAGGGTAGCAGAAGCCTGAGAAAAATGTCTACCCAAATCGCTACAGAAGAACAAGGACGACAACCTCTTCTCTACAGTACTCCCACTAATGGAAACGAAGAAGAGATCGTCATTTCCTCATATTCCAACGGTTCAGATGCCCTTAATGTCAACTCTAAACAACGGCTTCTCTCTCTCGACATATTTCGTGGTCTCACCGTGGCGGTATACTCCTCGACATAAAACCTATTATTTGATTTTAGCCTTAGTATTACTCATATTATGTATGCTAGTTGTTCTCAGGACTTCCTTTCTTGGTTACAGTGATATAGGAAATCAATGCGAGAAAATAGCTTGGAAGAAATTAGGGTAGGAAAGCATCGATTATTATTTATGTTTTTTAAAGTTAAAGAGTGGAATAATAGTTGAAGTGAAGGCATAAATGGAAAGTTTTCGCACTTGAAAAATTATTGAATTAACTTTTTGATCATTGTTACGAGTAGCTGATATTTTACTTATTGTAATAAGTTTGTTTTATTGCATTTTTAGACTATTTTCCCCATTTTTGGCCGATTGAGCTTTAATTTTTCTTATGTTATTGTTAAGCAGCCGAGTATATAATGTGTTTTCTTGTATTTGTTATGTGATTATAATTTAACTTAAGTTAGCTTTTAGCTCAATTCCTAATCGATAGTTCTTTTAGTAGTTGATGATTTTGGTTGATGATGCTGGAGGGGCTTTTCCATCAATCAATCACGCTCCATGGTTTGGTGTGACAATAGCTGATTTTGTGATGCCGTTTTTTCTTTTTGGTGTTGGGGTCTCTATTAGCCTTGTATTTGAGGTATGCAAAGTTCTTCTGTTTAAATTGTATGGGGTTAATGTTGTTTGAAGTTCTAGGTATGCAATATAGCATGATGTTTTAATGTTTATTTGATTCTTCTCCATAAGTCTTCCCATATGATTTTGTCAGTATTTGCATGAACTCATCTTTTAATTGCCCAGCATTTTGCATAAAGCTTCATAGCTACTCTAAATTTATGTATTGGACTTTCTAAATCAATAGCCAGGATAGGAATTCGTATTCCTTTTCTATCCCTTCTACCATGCTACATTTTCAATTGACATTTGCATTTTTCATGACTAAAGATAGTTTTGCTTTTAGCTCGTGCGCATTTAACAGCAAAAACATTTATAGTGAGGAATGTTCTATTCTGTACTTGGAACAAGTAAAGTTTATTACATTTGTGCATAAAGCTTCTAGCAAACCACTGGCCACTAAGAAAGACGTATTTAGGACGGCCAAGTGTTTTCTGCTGGGGTTGTGTCTACAAGGTTGCCACTTTCACCTATTGTTTTCTTGAAGTTTTATTAACTTCTGAGTTCTGACCAGTCTATAGCCTAGACAGGAGTGATCCACAACTCATGTAATTCTGGGATATATTGAATGAAGAATTTCTAGTCTGCTTTGTGGAGATTCTTCTTTTATCTTTTGGTTGTTAAGCTGATCCAACATAATGATTTTGTTGCCTTGATAGTTTTTAAGGAAAAAGAGTAGAGTGCACAATATTTAGGTCTAACTAATACTGCTAGGAGATGTGGTTTTTAATCTTTTGAAATGTGCTTACAGGTGGGTATTTTCATGGGCGTAATAATCTGACTTATGGAGTTGATGTGGCCAAGATACGGTGGCTAGGTGTACTACAGGTATTAACTGTAATGCTAATAATCTTGATGTTCTATTGTTCTCATTTTTTTTATTGATTTTATGTACTCAAGGTGTAACTTAACTATTCATGTGACTTGTGCTTGTGCCATGTGACCGATAAACACAAAAATCTAAATTGGAGCTTAAGTCATGGAATGTTCCTTACCTTGGCCTGAACCCATGCTCACTGCCTGACTAATATGAAAGATTGGTCAAATATATGGTCAAATATAAGTTGCCTATGCCCCCATTAATCATTTCCTTAATTTTTTTGACAAATTCATTCTGTGATCTGCTGCACATACTAATATATGGATATTGAATTTTCACAAATATATTAAGCTAATTTGTATAATATTTTTGGTTTATTGTCTGCAGAGGATATCAATTGGGTATCTTCTGGCTTCAATGACGGAAATATGGCTTGTTAAAAATATCACAGTTGACTCTCCAATAGCATTTGTTAGGAAGTACTATGTTCAGTGGTTAGGAAATACTCTGCTTATTGAAATCTTCATAGAGATTCCACCTTCGGTTTTATTTCTAGTTAAAAGCTATCAAATGGCAAAACTTTTACCGTTTCTTATCGTGTAGGGTTGTTGCTACCTTGCTATTATCATTTTACATGTGCTTGCTCTATGGCCTTTATGTTCCAAACTGGGAATTCCAAGCTCCAAGCCTCACTCTTTCCACTAATGTACCCCAAATTGTAAGTTAAATTATTTTTTTTGGCACTTTCAAGGTTTTCTTAAATCTACACGATGAAGTGCCTGTGACACAATGTGATTTCTATAGTCAAATATCTATATGTTGCCTTACATCTCTTCTTTCATTTCAATTGGTGAATTTTATTGTAGGATTGAGGCATGTTGTTGATATTGTGGTCTATAGACGTTTCTTTTGTTGAATGAAGTTCCCAGCCTTTTCCTTTTCCTGTGTTATCATATTGCCATGTACACACATACAAAGCCTTCTATATTCTTCTTATTTCAGGGTCTATAGATTGAAGCAACTAATTGAACTTAATTTTTTTAAGCACAAGTTATGAACATCTCTGGTAGGCTTGTCATACAATCCTAGAAGTCAAAGGCTTCTGGGTTGTATTTCAGTTTCTCTGTCTTTTATTGAGAAAATAAATGACTATTTACTTCATGAGAATATAAATATATGATTTGAGAATTGTACCTCTATATTTGATATTGTAGAAACTATAGCTTTTGGAAATAAGAAAATAAATAAATTTGGGTGTGTTCTGTTTTAATTTTGTCTGTATTTCTATCAGAAACAAATGTTCTGCTATCCAGCTTGAATTCTAGTTTGTTCTCGCGCCAAGGAGGTTATAATCCTTTTTAATAGGTGCGCTGTGGAATAAGGGGGAGTCTCGAACCTCCATGCAATGCAGTTGGCTATATTGATCGGTATTTTCTGGGTGATCAACATCTATATCAACGTCCTGTGTACAGAAGAACAAAGGTTATTCAACTACTTGCTTTTGTGTTGTAGATCTGGTGATGCCTTTTGAAACACCCACTTTTAAGATCTAAATAGGAAAGCACCCATTTTCATTCACAGGAATGCAGTGTTAATTCTCCTGACTATGGGCCTTTGCCACCACATTCACCTGAATGGTGCCTTGCTCCTTTTGACCCCGAGGGCATCTTAAGGTTAGATAATGACATTCTTTATCTAGTTTCTAGTTTTTCACTACATCTGTTAATTGTGATCATTAAAGTTGTGCTGATTGGTGATCCATCTCTTGCAGACGGTATTAAGGCTCTTAATCCTAAGAATGTTCAAGTGATTTGCTGGTTCCCACCCCCTGTTGATTTTTTGAAGATGAATGTTGATGGAGCTGTTAGACTTGATGGCACAAATGGAGGTATAGGAGGTATTTTGAGAGACTGGAACAGCAACTTTCTTCTGACTTTTTTCAGAAAATATAGGTCAAGGTCCCCCCCAGGTTGCGGAGTTAAAGGCTATTAAGAGAGGAATTGAAATCTCTATGTCTTCTTGTTGGGTTACTGTTGGAAGGTTGATTGTGGAAAGTGACTGGATATTGACCCCAACTTTGGCCCCTGTTTTTATCTTACCTTTAGTTAAGGAGATTTCATCACTCATCTCGGATAGGTTGCACTCAGTTAGATGGATTCCAAGGGCGTGTAATGGGGAGGCTGATAGTTTAGCAAAGATGGGAATTCGTTGATTGTTAGGCATTATCAGTGGGTTTTATTGTTTGAGTTTTTAGGTTTTTGGTTGTTACTTGAGTGGTTAAGTATGTTGTGTTTTTCAGATTGGAGTTTTTGTTAAACATTATGTAAGTTTGTATGAGTAATAAAAGTTTTAAGGCACTCTTCCTCCCTCTGCAGATTAAGGAGCTGATTATCAGACTCCGTTAATCAAGGAGGAGGTTTTTAATGAGGCATGTTATTCCTATAAAAAAAAAAGTTGTAAAGACTTCTTATTATAATATTTTCTTTCGCATGTGCACACACAACTAAAGGCATTTAAACACCAAATATGCCACTTCTATTGCTCGGTCTTATACTTGTAACATCCCTCATGGAATTTCTGCAGTTCATTAATGGCTGTCCTCACATGTTTTGTGGGATTGCATTTTGGACATATACTTCTGCATTATAAGGTACCGTTGTTATTTCTGTGTCAATGGACTAATCTAATTATGGACTTCACTTGGCAAAGAGGGAAAAAAGGGTTATGCTAAGGATACTGCATGAATATGTTGGTGAATGTGCTCTAAACATATTTTCTGTAGGGGCAGATGCATAGAGTGGTTTTGTGGTCCATATCTTCCTTTACGTTACTAATTTTTGGATTTGGTTTACAAGTGCTAGGTAAGTTGTCTCTGATAACAATCTAGTTCGAGATTATAATTTTTCTCTTATTAAAATCCAGTTGGCATATGGTTTTCTTGGAGTTTGGATTTCTTTTGTTGAATTGATCTCTGGTTGGTGTAACAGGCATTCCTTTCTCCAAACCACTCTACACATTGAGTTATATGTGCATCACTGCAGGAGCATCAGGCTTGTTCTTGACCATCATCTTTTACATGGTAAGTTCATCTTTGGTGATTGGTTTGTCAACCTCCTGTTTAGTGTTACAAAATCCCATGTTATATTTGTAAAAGATATATTCTACCTGATTTGTGAAGCCGTTGTAATTATATCAAGTTATAGTGCATTTCAAACAAATTAGTATTAAGAAGCTGTTACAATTTCTTTCTAAACACCTATACCCAGGACTGAAGGGAGCCTTGAAGGAAACATAGGTACATCCATCTTTGTTTCCTTTGTGTCAGAATTTAAATCTGCAGTAGCACGGAAGCTCACGTGTAGTTGGCATTATTGCAAGTTATCAAATTTATTTGATTTGAAAACTTAACTGACACGAGAATGGGAAATGCCTGAACATGGAAGGTAAATTCCTACTAATGGAAGGCTAATGTGAGCAACTGTCCATCTTTAGTAAAGTTAGATGTTGGATTAACTGTTGCATATCCTTGGAACCTGCAAATCTTTGGCTTAGCCAATGAACATCTTTGGCTTTCCTACTTTAAACCATTCTATATCTTTGGTATTGAAACCTAATAATTTGACTATTGATTTTCTTGAATCCCTTTTAATATTCCTCTTGTAAGTTCAGAATATTTGTATTTGGGTTCTAGTCCTTTTTTACATTTATTTGATTTGTCGGCTTTGAACGCTGTCTGAAGACTATATTTCTGAAGTAACAAGGAATGCAACTAAGCACAGTTGTATTTGATGCAGGCTGATGTCAAACATTTTAGAAAGCCGGTGGTGTTACTTCAGCGGATGGGAATGAATGCTCTTATAATATACGCTCTGGCTGCTTGCGACATTTTCCCAGCAGCTGTGCAAGGTTTCTATTGGCGTTCACCAGAAAATAACTTGGTAACCTTCTCACTTCTCTTATGGGTTTGTAGTTTTATTCTTTTCATATCCTTGACTTCGTAACAGTATTTTACTTGAGTATAGGTGACAGCAAGCTTGATAGAGATTTATTGAAGTATTGCTTAATAACTTTATCATTGTCAAGTCATGCTGTAATTCGGTAAATTTGTATGCTAATGTTCTTTTTCTTTCATGTGAAAGTTACCATCCAGCTTTACTCTGGAAACACGTAGAAGTTACTGCATGAAAATACTGCTTGCACGATACATGCACTTTCTAAAGTTGATTTTTCAAGTATCAAAATATAATCGGTGCAGTGGTCTGCTTTGTCAACTTATATGTTTTAATAGACTTGTTTATGTTGATTACTCTTGGTTATGAAATGCAGGTTGATGGCGTGGAATCATTGTTACAGGCCATACTTCATTCGAGAAAATGGGGTACCTTCGTATTTGTGTTGCTTGAGATCTTGTTTTGGTGCCTTGTTGGTGGTTTTCTTCACATGAAAGGCGTATATATAAAACAGTAGGAAAAAATAAAACAAAAACTTGTGAATATTAGGTATAGTAAGTAACTTAAATATAGAAGAAAAAAAGGATAAATTAAGTAGTAGTACTCTTAAACATGAATTGTCGGTTTGTCACCTAATTTGTCAACACCTCGCCTAGCATTTCTCTCTAAAATGTGGTATCAAATGTTTAATGTTACAAAAACCTAGTATTACTCTGCTGCTGATTGCCTGATTGATGAAGTGCTGGTTCTATTTCTAGTATCGGTAAAATAGCTAGGCAATCAATGGAAAATTGTGGGTGCTATTGCCTAAAGCTACTTGTGCAGATTAAATGTATTTTCTGCTTTGGTATATTTTCTTCGCCTCAAATCAAAGGCATTTCTTAATTTTTTGTTCTCTTTCGGCAATAAATATTAAAGAGGCATTTTTGCTTCAACCAACACTTTCCCAAAAAGCCTCAGATTCCATCACCAACCTCAGGGGTAAGCTCAAAAAAACACACAATACACTATTTCCCTTGCATCTTCCAGCTCCGTCAGCCTATCTTCAGAATTAGATACCGAGTGTAGATCGCTGAAGATAATTTCACTGTTCGAACAGCAACTACCCTATAATCATCCAAGTTCCGGTTCAGCTAAGCACATGCTCATAGGCCGGTTTACAGTTTAAGTAGTCACGGCAGTTCAGAAAGCAGAAAGGTAATAAGCAATGCCGACACTCAAATACCACCGAGTAGGTTTTGCAAGGTTCCATTGGCTGATGATTCGAAGAACTAGCTAGGCTAGCGTACAATGTTCAATCATCTATGTCCAATGATATAATTGTTCATATTATTTAATTACGTTCCACGAAAAATGTTGAATATTGTTATGATTCATAATCCCTGAAGCATAATATCTTTCCCCATAATTTCTTTCTTTAGAGAGCGTAAATTGGTAAATAACAAGGCACAATATTGTCGTACTTCATGGGAAAAGATGGTGCTTATAAAGGCATGAACAACCGAAGTATACATGTGGTTCGTGTCTCACGTTTAAAGCTAATTGCCTTGCCATCCGAGTAATCTGATGTTTTCGGAAAATAAGAAGGTTAAAATCACATTACTAGAATAATTCAGTTATTTTAATAATATGATTCAATAATATGTAAAATTATACTATCTTCGCTGTATTAAAGTTGTCCTTGCGAAATAAACTGGGGGAACCATTTGGCAGTGAGGCGGTTGAGACAGAATCATCGTCTTCATGAAGGAAAATAAATGGGTGCCTCAAGCCCTACGAATGGCCGATGATTTGACAATTAATTATTTAATGGAACTTCATACACACTAAAACAACGCGATGTTAACGAACACAAAATTATCATAAAATGAAATTTCAACTCAATGTTACAAACCAAATTCACCTACATCAAAGATACTCTTGAGCTCAGCTAGGAAAATATGGTCATTTTAAAAAATAAAAATAAAATAATGCATGCAAGCATGGTGTGGAAATTATGCAATTAATACTTTATTTAGAACACAATTAGACCCAAACCCCACTTATCCTCTTCCATTCTCGTAACCTCGTACTTTTATGTTTCACCCATTCCCGACCAGTGACCACAAAGAATAAAAAAAAAAGTAAAAAAATACAGAAAAAACAGCCCTCAAAAAGGTGCATGCATGCAAACCAATACGTCCGGTAATTGTTTTTGTTTTGCATCTTTGGTACATATTCACGATTCAAGAATTCGAGGCTTGAAGCCTCATCTGTTCATAGAATTGAGCTATGAATTCCTCTGCCTTGATATCGATCTTCTCATCTCCACCTTCATTATCGCAGTGATGCCCACATTTCTCTTTGGCAATCCCTTCGCGAGGTGAATCGTTTTGGTTCACTTCACTCACCGGCAGGGTCGGAGACAAAGACGACGCCGTAGCTTCATCTTTATGTTCCTCCCCGGATATAGGCTCGGGCTCAGGCACAGGCACAATTTCAAGGGTAACATTTTCAGGAGGGGGATGGGGTGGGGACAATGGGGAGCTTTGTGATTGCATGGGACGCTCAGACCCTACATCCCCTTTCTGCCCAACCTTAGAATCCACATCAACCTGATCCGGCTTCGAGTCCGATACTGTCAAATCGCCGACGGATTTCGTACGTAACATGCCTAGAGCCGCCTTGAAAATACCAACGGAAGATGAACGTCTCATTCCCTTCCGCAAGGGCACGCCATTTCCATCACTATCGAGGGCCTTCTTTTTGTCCCTGGAAAAGATGGAGATGAATGACGTTGGTGTTGTCTCCCCCATTTTACAGAGACAAAAGGAAAGAACCCCCGATGTATGCTTTAGCACAGGAAAGCCCGAAAATTAACAAAGATCCTTGCCAAATGGGACAATGGAACAATGATTTTTTTATTTTATTTATCTTGTCTTTCTACCAGGAGAATGAAACAACAATTTTATATATATAAACTTTTCCAAGTTTGAAATAGCCGGTTAAAACTATCGTATGCCTATTTGCCTATGCTTCTACCAGGAACGGAATATTCTTAAATTGACTATCACAACAATTTAACCATTAAATGCATGTTACTATTTTTCAACAAACGAAACTAAATTTGAGATGCAAATTTCATGTATTAGTTTAATTTTTAAATAGAATGTTAAAATAGAAACATATAGAATCCAATATTAGAGCCATGAACGTCTCCAATGTATGCACACACTAATATTTGAAGGCCAACAAAATTATGAAAATCACGCAATCCTTAAAAATCTTTGAAACATAAAAACCCTAAAAAGAGTAAATATATCCTGCAATATATCAATTATAATTTCTAATAATAATATTCATAAGAAAGTATATATCACCAATAATTCAAATATTAATTCAAAAAAAAAAAGTTGAATTTAGCATAACTCGTGACTCCTCCCATACAATGACAAAATTGTCCATCAATTCAAGATGCAATGTCTCCATGATCTCTGCACGATCTCACACTCATGTTTTATGATTAAATTGTTATTAAATTCTTCACAGAACATTGTGTATCCGTACATGTTTATTACACTCCCTTTAATAATTGATTGTTTCAAATTGTGTTTTTATTAATTTCCCCTTCACTCTCGTGGGAAATGGATTTTTTTTTACAAATTTTAAATCTAATCTTAATCTTATCTAGAACTTATGATTTAATCATAAGAGAATATGAGAGAATAAAAGTAAATAAATTAATCAACAGATCAAATATATTTGCTTTAGTAAGAAAATGACTGAGTTTTTTTTTTTTGTATAGGTTGAATAAAATTATGAATAATATTAAAATTAATCAAATCTGTCCAAATCATTTAACGAATGAAGTAGGTCAACTTATGAGATGAGTTGGACTACACGAATATAATATAACATAAATAAAATAAAACCCTACGAAGTTCATGGGTAATATTCTACCGATATTTTAAGAAACTCACTGGAAATTAGTAGGAAATTAACAATACATTTTTTATAAAAAAATCTTAATAGGGATCCGTGGTTGTCAATGAAACTTCACGTAAAATAAAATGAATATGATGTCTGTTAGTTTTATATAACAATTGAATTCGAAATCGAATTTGATTGACTAAATGAGCAAGAAAAAACAAAGGAGTAGGCAAATCAGCTCAGCTGTTTAGGCGCTAAAAAATAATTACATAATTATTATTTAACTCTTCGCGGAATATTGCGTATCCGTACATGTTTATTATGCTCCTTTATTAGTAATTGTGTTTTTATTAGTTTCCCTCAACTTTCGTGGGAAAATCATTAATCAAATCTGTAAAGACACGAACCTGGTCAGCTCATAGAAACATTCATTTATTGATTGATTATTAAGGATTGGATTTTATAGAGGTTTATTATGGGATGATTTTTTAATTTAATTTGTTCCATTTGTAAATGTTAAAATTCGAATTATAATCTAATATCGCATCCCACTGACCAAGTAATTGTTGGTATGAACATTTATTTTAATTTATGAGATGAGTTCGACAAAATCATTATCATTACCATCAGTGATAAATCTAAACATATTTTTTAGGGTGAACACACATGTATTAATAACATAAAATTTTCGTATAGAGTGAGCACAAATAAAATTTTAGGATGAACACAATCAACAAAATAAGTAATTAACCAAGGAAAATTTAGATTCCATAGTGGGCACGTGCTTACCATAAATTAAGAATGAATCTGTCACTAATTACCATTGTTACGAAATTAGATCATAAATAAAAATTATAAAAAATGATTACATTTATAAAAAAAAATTAAAATTGTAACAGTTCCATATCACTCTATGTACCCCTTTACTAGTTTTGTAATAATTGAATTTGATTAAGTGCGAAAGAAACAAAGGAGCAAAGGAGGAGTTGGCAGCTGCTTGCTTAAATAGTCAATGCATACCGTTAACTTGTTGAAATTTAAGTTATTATATAATTTTAAAAGACATTATACAGCAATTTCGGGAGCCACTGGCCTCTCTTCTACGTTCATCAGTCGGTTCTCTGATCCGAGTTTCTCCAGAAATATTCCTATGTAGTATAATCTATACATTTCAAAGTAAATTAGAGGAAGTTCTTACAGTTTGGTTCGTAATTATAATAATACTATTGTGTTTTGGTTTTTGGGTTAAACAACGTCTTTTTCATATTACTTTGTAAAATTAATCATATGATTAATGTTGCACCTTCCACGAACATTGAATTCAAACGTTTAAAAATAATGGTTAATAATTGTGTTTGCAATAAGTTAAAATACGTCCTTTTAATCCTAGTTGTTTGAGATTAAGATTCATCAATTTCTTTATTGGAAAGTGTTTATGAATGGACTAATATTGTATAAATTCAATCGCAATTTTTTAAAATTTTAAATTTCATGCTTTAATCAATAAGTTAAAATCTGTCTTCTTTTTTTCTAATCGTGTTTTCTCAAGGATTTTATTTCTTTTATTAATCACAAATCATTAAACTAATTAGTTTATTAACTGAATAACACAACAAAACGCTTTGTTGCCCTGCTAACCACAACCAGGAGGGCCTACGCTTCAATCATTTCCTTATATATTAATATAAATGACTTTCGTTCTAGATAAATTACAAAGGGTAAAGTATACAAAAGGTCCCTAAACTATGCTGAAATAAACTTTTTAAATATTGAATTTTTAAAATTTATAAAATAATTATCAAATTTATCTAATTATAAAAATTGTCACTATAATGTTTTCATGATCATAAAGTTTATAAATTTAATCATTAATTTGTAATAAATTGGTAAATCTAACAAAATTATATAAAAGTATATAACTATTATGTAATAGTTGAAACTTAATGACAAGTTTATAATATTATGATGATTATTTTATAATAGTTCGATAAATTAAATTATTATTTTGTAATGTCTGAAAGTCAGTGATAAATATGATCATTTGAACATACTTTAGGGACCTATTGTATACTTTACCCGTTATAAAAGAACACTCCAAGAAAACATTTTTTGCTGCTCCTGGTCATAGTAATAAACAATAAGAGACAGGGATATGTTTGGAAAAGAACCGGCGACAGCTCGATTTGGGTCCCGTACAACCGTGTTTCCCACGAGGTTCCACAGCCCATTGGTTCAAATTTCTCACCAAACCAAAACCAAAACCAAAGGCCAAAGTTTACAAAATAATCTTCAATTATGTGTTTTTAGCACATTTAGTCATTTTATTATAATTTGATTATTTTAGTCTTCTAAAAATATGCATTTTCATTCTTTAGACTACTTTTTTGTTATTTCTGATATATGATTTTTTTAAACATGTGATAATATAATATGTCATAACATTTCTTGTACAATTACACAAATTTTATTTATGTTTAAAGAAGGATTAAGAAAGGGAGGTAATATAATAGTATTTATGTAACTGTATAAAAAATTGTTAAAGTGTACATTATTTCACCCTAATTTGACAAGTAAATAGACTAAAAAATCAAACAATTCTAGAGAGACTAAACCCGTCAAAAGTATATAATAAAAGGACTTTCTATATAATTTTACCAACAACCTATTTCTTTTTCTCACTTTCCGCGTACCTGTATTCAATGGTCCAACATTATTACATATAAATAGCCAACGCTCATTCATCTTCACCAAGTAAACTCATCAACTCTTAATTGCAAACAAACTTTCTCACAGTTCTACAAAAATCTTAGTATTTCAAGCTTTCCCGGTGCTTATTCGTACCAAGTTTTCCGCAAATCATGAATCTGACGAAGAAAATGCCGAAGAAGAACGGCGATGTTGCTCGGAGAGCATGGGGTCTGCTGCGTCTAACTTTATTATGGACACGAAAAGGCGGGGTGTTCAAGCGGCGCCTCATGATGGAGCTCCGATTAGTTCCGAAGTTTCTAAAGGGTCTTGGACGCTCAACGACGGTTCATACGCGCGGTGTTGACCGACAGCTCCGTTACAAGAAACGCCAGTTTTCTTTCGACGAGACGCCCATTATCGACGTCAAGGCCGTGCACCGCTCTTCTTCGATGCGGTTTCTCCTTCCTTGCATTAGCGCCGAGGCCGTAGACTTTGAACGATTCGATGATCTGGGTATCGATGAATATGATGACGGGCTTTACAGGTGTAATAGTCGAAGCACCAAGAGTTACTCGACGTGCTCTGATATTGTTGAAGACGAAGAAGAACAAGGAGAAGAGGAAGAGTGGGGATATGAAGGTTGTGATGAGAAATGTCCGTGTCCGTATACATTTCCGGTGGAGGAAGAAGGGATCGATTCGAAGGCGGAGAGGTTTATAGCTAAGTTTTATGAGCAATTGAAGTTACAAAGTCGACAAATTTCTGATTTGGAAGATAATGAAATGCTTAGGAGAGGAGCAAGTTATTAAATCCTTTTTAAGTTTATAATGTTCTTCACTTTCTTTTTCTTTTTTGGCAAGAGATCCCACGGTGCTCGTGAGGCTTTTTGTTATTTTTGTAGATAACCAGGATTCGAGTGTTTATAATTTTATGACGAGGGTCTTAAATTCTCACGGTATTATTCTTGCATAAGTTTTTTAAACTGTGACATTTTAGGGTAAAATATTTTAATTATCACTTAACTTTAATGTTGGTATCAAATTTATCATTAAATATTAAATATTTTAAATTCTCACGGTATTATTTTTGCAAGTTTTTTTTAACCGAATCAAGCGACCTCAGTAGTTAAGAAATTGTTGTTATTTCTTGAGCTCTAGGGTTTGATCACCGCGTATGCAAAGATATGAGTATTTAATGTTAAATGGTTGTATAAATCAAATAACTTTGGTGGTAAAAGAATTGTTATTATTTTTTAATATTACGAGTTCGAGCGTCAATAATGACAGAGGTGTGAATATTCAATCTCAAATGGTTGAGAGTTATTTACAATAAGTTAAAATACGTCCTTTTAATCCTAGTTGTTTGAGATTAAGATTCATCAATTTCTTTATTGGAAAGTGTTTATGAATGGACTAATATTGTATAAATTCAATCGCAATTTTTTAAAATTTTAAATTTCATGCTTTAATCAATAAGTTAAAATCTGTATTTTTTTTAATCGTATATTCTCAAGGATTTTATTTCTTTTATTAATCACAAATCATTAAACTAATTCATTTATTAAATGAATAACACAACAAAGCGCTTTGTTGCTCTGCTAACCACACCCAGGAGAGACTACGCTTCAATCATCTCCTTCTCATATATTAATATAAATGACTTTCGTTCTAGATAAATTACAAAGGGTAAAGTATACAAAAGGTCCCTAAACTATGCTCAGATAATCTTTTTAAATATTGAAAATTTATAAAATAATCATCAAATTTATCTGATTATAAAAATTGTCACCATAATGTTTTCATGATCATAAAGTGTATAAATTTAATGATCAATTTGTAATAAATTGGTAAATCTAACAATAATTCTATAAAAGTAGATAACTATTCTGTAATAGTAGAAACTTAATGACAATTTTATAATATTGTGATGATTATTTTATAATATTTCGATAAATTAAATTATTATTTTGTAATGTCTGAAAATCAGTGATAAATATGATCATTCAAACATACTTTAGGGACTTATTATGTACTTTACCCGTTAGAAAAGAAAACCCCAAGAAAACATTTTTTGCTGCTCCTGGTCATAGTAATAAACAATAAGAGACGGGGAAAATTTGGAAAAGAACCGGCGACAGCTCGATTTGGTCCCGTACAACTAGGGGTGTAAACGATCAGAGTCGAGCTCGAGTATTGTTAAGCTCGACTCAACTCGAAAATTTTAAAATGAAGCTGGATTAGACTTAAAAACTCGCGAGCTTAAAATTTTCAAGCTCGAGTCGAAATCGAATTCCTGAACTGAAGCTCATGAGCAGCTTGAAATGAAAAAAAAAATCTTAAACTTAACTCGATTGAAGCCTCAAACTTAAACCTGAAATTTAAATATATTAATATTTTATTGTATTTTTTTAAAAAAATCAATACATAAATGTTAATGTTATTAATAATTTATTTTTTTAAAATAAATTTTTAATATATTATATTTTTGAGTTATTTACAAGTTTTTCGAGTCGAATATCAAGTAGTTCATTTCGGTTAATTAAGAATTCGATCTGAATATTTATCGAATCTTAATCAAATCGATCTTGAGTAACTCGCGATATATTTATCGCTTTTGCGGCCATAATAAGGGAGGGGAGGCGGCGGCTATCTGGTCTTTGCACTTCCCAACCTTCTTCTTTTTCCCACACCGTTTGCTGTTGGTTTTGCTTCAACTCTACCAAAGGACAGCTCTTTCATTTCGATAAACCAATAAAAGTAAAACACATCTCCTTCTTTGCCAAGCTCAACCCCTGCATTATTGGTATTATCATTCTTTCCTGTTATTCAAAGCTCTGCACTTTTTTCTCATCTTTTTTTTTAAATTATTTCTCTTTAAATATTTGCTAATTTTATCAGTTATGTTTGAAACCATATAGGTGACATTGCATATGCTTTCCGATCAGGTCTTTGGATGATGTACACTGTTTCTTTATCGGTTATTATTCTTCGAAGCGACTAGTTTACGAGATCCGTTGAGCGCAAGATGTCGACTTTGTTGCCATTTTCTGCTCCGTCTCATTCCTTCCCAAAGCAGACTTCTTTAAAACGCCACTGGGTGTCGCCAACTCTGCTTAGTTTTGCTGCGTTTAGGCCTTGGGATTCTTTATGTATCAGCCTAAGACGTTGTGAAAGTGAAGTATTTAGAGTTAGTTGCCAAGAGGGAAAAGTGGATGCTATCCAAAGGAATGAATTTGAGGCTGTAAGTTTCGGAGATGTTTTAGTCGGGAAGCAGATAGTTTAGTTAAATCGGACATAGGATAATGTCGGGGTGTTTTGGTTGGGTGTGGTGGTTGGGTGTTTTAGATGTTTTTGAGGGAACTTTTGAACTTAAAATGTTTTTTCATGGATGTCCTTTATGTTTCATTAATAAAATTTTGGGTAATTTTTTTTTTTTCAATGTCTGTTGAGTAGTTTGACGGTTATAAAAGAGAGTTTTTAATAAAACTCTATTCTTATAAAAAATTTATAAAAGAAATAAAAGTGAATTTTGCACGATAAATATTTCAAAAGCCTTTAATAGTGAAAATGTTATTCTCACTTATATGATATAGAAATTGGTAGTTTGATGAGTATTTTATATTTTGTAATTATGAAATATATGTTATAATATTAGTTTTTTAAATTAATGTTATAATACTAGTTAATTGTGTTAAAAGAGGAAAAATATCCTTTCAAGATTTATAACCTCTCAAATAAGTTGAAAGAAGAGACACAATTCATAATTGCCGGAGGTCCTCCACAGAAGTTGCTCTCAACCTAACGTTAGGGACAACCTAATAACATACCTCCCCTTATCCCATTACAAATGGGAATAGGGTCAGCTAATTTATAATTTTATTTATTGGATATTCAATTTTATAGTGAGAGAGCTTACCAATTTTTGGAGGAACAGGACAAACCAAGAATACGGTGAAAGATGACCAATACATATAGAGATCGCAAAAGCACTATTACCATGCAAGAATAAACCACCACCAAAACCATGAATTCATACAAACTCTGCACAAATTACAGTGGTTTTCGACAAAAAGAAAAAACGCTTTTCATCGATTCCCTTGAGCTATGAAATGATATTATCAGTATCTAGTGCATTTCTTGTACAGGGGAGGCGAGGGGACAAGATTTCTACACTTTCAACAAAAACTTTTGTCACCAAAAAAAATCCATAACATCTAGCAGCACGTAGCCGGTCACCATTAGACAACAAAACCTTGGAAAACCTATAGATGTTGCACTTACCAATTTGCCGGGTAAGTGAGACACAATAGAATCAATGCATAATGCGGATACATACATACATACATACATACATACATACATACATACATACATACATACATACATACATACATACATACATACATACATACATACATACATACATACATACATACATACATACATACATACATACATACATACATACATACATGTATGCATGCATACATACGAAACAACAATTTCAGCACTTAGAATAACCGCTTCCTGCAACCTTCTGCTCCACAATAGCATGCCATCCTTTTTACCTTCCCATCAGGACCATATACTCTATCAAGGGCATACCCATAGTCATAAGTAAGCTCCTGCAAGCAAGATTATAGAAAATAGTATCCAATCACTCTAAACTCCATCCAAAATAAATATCCAGCTAAACCAAGTGGAGAAAATATAAAGAAATCGTACTAATACTAGTTGATATTTCAATGATGCATGGGACCTAAAAGTTGACTCGTGATCCAAATATTATCATATTTTTTGAAGCAACATACAAGAAACTATGCTAAAATAGAGAAATCGTTGCTGAACATGTTCCCAAGAAATTTAAAAGGTGATTCACTCTCCCCACATCAGATTTGGAGGAAAATTACCTGCAAAGGAGGGATGTTGTCTGCTGCAAAGAGCATCACATGAGCTAGTTTAACATCGTGATGTGAACTCAAGACACTGGATAAAAAGATTAGGCTCACAGCTATGATTGATAAATCTTGCAATATTTCCAATAGAACCTGCATCAATGCAGAAATCGGGCACATTCTCTGATCTCTGTTCAGTGATTTTGTCCACATTTTGGATCACCGGCAAAGATCCATCCTGCTGTTGCCTCTGTCAAGGAAAAGAAAAATACTAATTACATTCTTAATGCAGGCAAAAACAAAAACAACTTATGACTTCATAGCAGTAAAACCAAGTATATCACAGATCAGAAAGATGATGTTTCATTAAAAGAAATTATTCCCTATGAACTTCAATTTATTTTTGGATGGGACCCTTTGGATGTCACTATCAGACCGAACAAAACACTCAACCTCAAACATAAAGCTAGATGCATCACAAAGCTCTAAAGAGGTCAGTTATACCTCTCTGCCACCGAGCCCTCATAGTTTGCAAGCAATCAATTTCAAAAATATAATTATTCTCAGAGACACTATCAAGCTCTTCCGTCCTCGTGAGTTCTCCGATATATTCACAAACTGGGGCACCAGAAGGTATAAAATCCCAAGACCTAACAACCCATCCTTTCTTCGGAGTACGGAAGACCTGCCAATTCAGGTCAGTCGGGTTTTATTCAAGAGATGTTTCAACCAGAATTCATCACATGATTAAGAAAAGAAATGAACAAAGAAATTATTCTTAATGTAATAAGAAACCTCAAGTCGATATCTCAATCCTCTCTGAGATGTACGATTTACGCAAGTTGGACCACAGCCACAGTTAGGACCACATTCAAAAACAACATGCGTGGCTTCAATTAATCTGGAATTGAAGAAGTGGAAGAGTGCTAATAAGCAAGAAACTTAAACAATAAGATTAAAGAGGATGGCATTAGCTATTAAGACTTCTTATTCCAAA